AAGAAAATTAAGAAAAGAGATAGAGCCAATCGGTTTTCATACCACAAAAAATTTACAGAAATGGATTTTTTTTTTAAAGAAAGGAACTGATTACTTCATAAAAATATGGTATATTTGTTAAATATGTTTTGATTTCTGTGCGAATAATAAGCACTAGACGATTAAAATTTATGACTGAAGAGAAGTTTACGAATATAGAGTTACTATTTTACTGCAGAAAAAGACACGGGACAATTTTGTAAAAGTTGTATTTGTAAAGCGTTTTAAAGAGTTCAATGAACATTTTAGACTGTAAAAATAATAGAACATACTAATAGATTTTTAATCTACGGGAACTTTTTGAGACAATACATTCGACAGTTAAAGTTATTTAAAATTAAGAAATAAAATTTGAAGAATAAAAATATCAAAAAATTAAAAGTTTAAAGTTCTATATAAAATATTTAACATCAAATTCGGTACAAATCAGTACTTGTGCACCGTACTTGAGATAAATCCGTGCCATCTATTCCGAAAAGCACAATTTATTACTAATTTATTAACACCAAATTTTTAAGAACAAACTACACTAAGATGGTAATTTTTTACCCTGATACAGTGTACCAGTAATACACTGTTCTGTATTGAGTGTGCCGTGCACGAATTCGGACTCTAAATAATGAAAACGCTACAAAAACTGTATATGTTCAATAAATAAATAATTTAATAAAAGTAATTAATTCTAATTAATGACTCACAAAACGAATTGTAGTTTTTATCAAGCCGGTATTATCATAACCTTATCCCACCATTATATATCCCGTAGCGTCAACCTTAATCGTCCCTGCCTACCGGTGTTAAAGTTCAGATAAAATTTGATAAGGTATATAGTTTCTTAGAGTATTGTAGACAATTAAGTATTTTATACTTAATAGAAAATATTATTATTTGTTTCACAATTCGATCAACCTTAGTGTACGGTTAACGTTTATGATATAGTTACTAAACATACAAAAAAAAAAACGTTTACGAGTAATTATGTACTTATATTTTTATAACTACTCAATTTCAAGTTTTTGAATTTATTATTAACTAGAGTACCTACTTATGTGCAAGTGTTTCTTGAAATTTTAATATATATCCAAATCACATTTGAGAATTGAATAGACACGTATAAAGAAATATACATTACACAGGCTACGATTATTCTCAAGTGAAGATTACACATTATTTTATGTGTAAAAAATACTTTCTTTGATATGATTACAAGAAATATAAAGGTATCTATTATGCATTTTTTTCAATATCAAGAAAAAATTTAATACAATTAAATTTTAGTGGTCCATAAATAATTTATTTCATTTAACCCCCAGAAGTAATTATATTTACATTAAATTTTGAGTTTCAAAAACTTTAACTATTCTATTTGTTATTATATTTATTTATGAAGTAAACTATTGTATAACATTTTCTTAATTAACTAATACAGATAATAATAACTTATAATAATTAATTAGTATCATATTTAAATTGATTTGTTAGAATCACAATTTTTTGAAGAAGAATGAGTTAAATTCCTAACTTTTTTTTATAAAAAATAATGTATGGTTTTTCAAACTTTGAATAAAATATATCATAAACTTAAAATGCTTAGCCATTAGACCCCTTAATTACACGCCATTAAATAATACAATAATTTATATTTTTAATTATTATAAAATTAGTTATTATGTACACACCTTTTGTCTTATCTCTATCGCCGACAAAGATTAAAAGAAGTAGACTCAATGTTTTTATAATAAGGAAATATATGTCCTCGTTGCAGGTTTAATACTATGAAAAATTAATATTTTTACTTCAAAGAATTTTTCATCACATTGTTTTATTTCTATTCAAAAAATATAGCAAGGTTAATAATATCGGTTTTTGACGTATAACTTATATCATATATTTATTAATATTACAATATTTATTAATATTACTACTTAAATAGTAATTGATTTTTCAATTTACATCTTTTTTAAATATAAAACCACATTTGATATTATCAAATAAAAATTTGTATTTATTATATTTTTATATATAATAAATAAAAATAAGAAGTTATTTATAACTCTTAATTATAAATCAAATTAATCATAAAGAATACAATACAATTTATTTAAATTACTTTACATAAATTCTAATTAAATGTTCAAATTATAAAAAATGTATAAAACTTTACTTTTTGTGATTATATATTTCAAAAAAAATTGAATAATGATATTTTTTACCTGTGCTCTTCTTGGCCCTTAAAAAAAATAGTAGTACAAATACTGAAATAACACAAAAAATCAATAAACAAAAAAAAAATATTTATTGTTTATAATTTTTATATGAATTCTTTATGGATATTTTACACTGATTCCAAATCTGGCTTCAAATTTTTCCAACCATATGTAGTTTATAAGATAACAACTAATTATTAACTTAGCGATAAGTTAATAAGATACATGATAAAATCATCATAAAAAATCATATATTTATTTTTTTTTTACTATCATAAAATGATTTCATGATTTTTAATAAAATTGTACAAAATTTGGGAGAATTCCATTAAGTTTGATCTTTAAAGTTGAGTTTGAATGTCATTAAAAAAAAAACTGAACTTTCTAGTAAACATTTTTTATAGTGACACCTTCTATATACCTATTTTAATACGTCCACCAATTTATTGCGTACTTTTTATTGTTAATATTAAAAAAAATAAAGATTTATTAAAGAATAAAAAAAAACATAACATAATAATTATGAGCAAAAAAAGCTCACCATAACTTTCAACAAAATATTAGTTGTCACCTGATTTGCAGGTTTGATAAGCGCGTACCCATTGAGCCACCTCTCATTAATATTCTTCTGAAACAATGAAAAACTCATGTCTGTCCATAAATAGTTATTACTATCCGGTAGCTTAATATGTATAAAGTATAAATCAAATATCAAAGCGTATTCAACAAATCGCCTATAAACTTTTTTTTTTAATTATATAAATAAATAATTATATAATTCTCATATGTAAATCTAAGTAAACCATCGCATTTATCATTAAAAAATACAATAAAACCATTATTTTTTTAAAATTTCCAAGATAAGAAAAAATTTATAGTTTTTTATGATAATTTTACTATATAATTATCGCATAGTTACTAATTCTTAATTATTTTAAAAATTACATATGGTAGATAAAATTTAAAGCCAGATTCAAAATCAGCATTAATTTCCATACATAGAATTCATATAAAAATTGTAAACAAGAAAAAGGTCGTTGTTCATTTAGGTATGCACGTAAAAATAAATTAATAAAACACGAGATGAAATTTCTTTTTTTTTTTTGTATCAAATAATTTTCTAAGCTCTAAATTATCATTTAAAAAGTCACAGGTACTTTGAAATTATAGTTATTCAAAACTGAAGATAGTATTCTCATGTGAATTTGGACGAGTAGCTAAAGAAAATATCAAAATTTTTATCATATTCCAAATAAAATATTTACGAGTCTTAATAGGCCAAATTTAAACCCAGAAAGACAGATGAAAGAAAAAGTTATGAAAAAAGAGGCTTGTGTAGAAATTAATTATATGATAAGTACAAGAAAAACTTTAATTGGTATTCCGCTAAGAAAAATTGACTTATTTTTCCTTATAATTTATTCAAATTTTAATCTAGAAAATCACATATTACCGTATTATAGTTGTTACTATAATTAATTATAAACATTTTAAAAGAATTATATAGAACAATACAAACATACTTAACATGAAATGGTTCTTTTAAAGTAAAGCCAAATAAAAATTATTTTTTACGTAAATCCTTATCGTTAGTAATATTTTTGCAATATTAACTGCATTGTTAATTATTCTCAAAGGAAGTACATAGTTCTTAGAAACTGTATAGATAAAAAAAATACAAAGGTAAAATATGTATTTTGTATTGATAAATACGTCATGCTAATAATCAAAAATATGTGACTACGATAAAGTTAACAACGATTGTAAGTCCAAAAACTAAAAAGTAGTTAACATAATATGATTATAAACATAATTTTAAATGGTTTTCCCTATTAAGAACCTTTAAACGAAATGAGTATTTAAAATTTATATTTGATATTAAATATCAAAACGTGCTTTGACGTTTGATATCAATTGATAATATGTACTCTGTTCATATGTGAAAATATAATGAAATATATCTAGATATTAAATAATTGATTTTAAATAATAAAATGAATGATCAATTGTTAAAATAGTAAATCTCGAGACCATAGTTCATTTAACAAGAAAAGTAATTTTGAATAACACATTCATACGTGTATACTAAATTTTTATCTTTTGACCTGTTTTACCTAACCAAAATTTGTAGTAATTAACACACATACATTACAATTTCATTCAAAGGCACCTTGTCTGAATAGACAATTATTTGAACCTTTATTCTACCAAAATCTAACAAATATCATCACTACACGTATAATGTTACTTCAACAAAACTTCAATGAGGAATTAAGTCAGTGTTCAATTGAACATAATAATATCAGTTAAACTAAACTAGGCTCCGGCGGATCCCTTAAAGTAATTCGACAACGGTTACTGTTAAGCTTCTTAATGAAATATATACTTCACAATGTTGTTATTTTATACAGTTGGAATAGATAAAGTTTTTTATTGATAAACATAATACATTGATTATTTTAGTTACTTATTAGTTTAATTCATTCATAAAAATTTTCAAACATTTTTTCAAGTTATGTGGAGCCATAATAAAAATAAAAAAATTCTGAGAAAGCCATAGAACTTTATTTTGATGACACTCAAATAATTTTAAACATTTCAAATTTAAATAGTACAAATATAAATGCCTTAACACTATTTTATTTTATTTATAACAAGTGTATTTTAAAATTGAATTATAGTAATTATAGCATTTATTTACAAATTATTATACTATGTTATATTTTATTAAAATATTATTTTATTTCTCAACAGATTGTAATAATAATGACTAAAACCGATTGATATAACTATTTATATTGGTAATTTTTCAAAAACATAGAACAAAATGGTCGACATTGTCGATAATAAATGTAAGGAGGCTGAAGTAGTTGACGTGGAACATGAAAAATGGAAAAAATTGAACAAATTTTCTAGAGTGAAGTATTTGGTTAATCATATAACCGTTGAACCTTTGCTTGCATCTTTTATTATAGCTAGTGTGCTGGGAGGTTTGACAACACAAAATTTAAATCTTCAAAAAGCATGTCGGGTTAATTTAAATTTGGGCGATGAAATATGTACAGCTCTCAATTATAAAAACAAATCAGATTTCATGCTAAGCCAAGAAAAAAAAGTTCAAGACTTGGTAACAACCATGATAATGTGGCAGTCAATAATTCAACACACAATACCATGTTTGTTTGTCGTATTTATTGGATCGTGGAGCGATAGAACTAACAAGAGGAAACCTATTTTATTATTACCTATTATTGGAGAACTTACAAGAACATTAGGATTAATAGTATGCGTTTATTACTTTTATGAATTGCCTATGGAAGTTGCTGGATTAGTAGAATCTGTGCCCTCTTCTTTATCTGGAGGATGGATGATAATGTTTATGGCTGTTTTTACTTACATTTCGGACGTTACTACTGTAAATACATTTTTTTTTCATTTTAAAGCCATAATTATTTAATTGAACTTTTATTTGTTTCTAGGTAAAAATGAGAACTCTTAGAATAGGTGTGATTAATTTAGCCGTCACAGTAGGCTTACCAATTGGAATCATTCTGTCTGGAATTTTGTTTAAAAAACTTGGTTTCTACGGTGTATACTCGATATGTTCGATTATATATTCGTCGGGAATGATCTACGGTATTTTTTGTATAAAAGATGCACCCAAGAATAAAATGGACGCAGTAACAAATGGACCATGTATTGAAGAAAAAACAAAATCATCTTTTACTGACAAAGTACTAGAGTTTTTTAATGCTAAGCATATTAAAGGAGCATTTACCGTTACTTTCAAGGAAGGAAAATATAATAGAAGAATTAGAGTCATAATGATTATGGCTGTTCTTATGATTCTAATGGGTCCTATGTCAGGTTAGCAAAAATATGATTACATATTCGATTGGTAATAAATTGAATTTGCGTTAAAGTATTATGTGATTTTTCTTCATAATTATAATTAAATAATTAATATTTAGGTGAAATGTCTGTTATGTATTTATCTACTCGCGTACGATTTAATTGGGATGAAGTGCAGTATAGTATTTTTTCAGCATACTTTATGATTATCGGTCTTATAGGTCTGTTGTATTATTCAACTTATACTTACACATTAATTAAACACTTAATTTAAAAAATGTTATATAATTGTTTAAAATTTTTAGGGACGTCATTTTCTTTGTGGGTTTTTAGTCATAAACTAAAAATAGACGATGCATTAATTGCAGCTATGGCATGTTTTAGTAAAATTATTGGATGTACAGTATTTGCATTTGCACAAAATGAGTTTGTGTTTTTTTTGGGTAAGTAAAATTTAATAACTAATATCATTATAATTTTTTTAGCAGTATTAATTTCATTATAAATTTAGGTCCCGTTGTTGAAATTTTCCATGGTGCTGGATCAATTGCTACAAGATCAATGTTTACAAAGCTTGTCGAAGCCAATGAACTTGGTACTAAAACACTTAATATTTATCATCTATAACATTCACAATAATCCTTATAGAGTTTAACAGTAGCCAATACAATAAAACTATAAATTACTTTCTAAGCGTGGGGAAACATAACTTAAAACATTTACTAATACTTATCCAAAAGTAGTTATCGAACAGTCATTTTCATAATTATGTAATTTTTTATTTTATAAGTTAATTTATTACACATTGCCTTTAAAAAAATTAAAGTTGACATTCCCATAAAACGTAAGACAACGAGAATAGAACTATAAGACAAGAAACGATTATGAAAATATTTTATAAATTATTATTTTAAGAGAAATTGATTAGAAAAATACAGACTAATTTACTCCTTTTAATGACATTACATCACCTATTTTAAAGTAATTTTTTGCCAGTCTCTATAACTTATTGCTTAGTATTAAGTTCTTAAAAACCTTAAATTTTTATCTTTAATATCAAAACTAATAATAGTTATATTATATATATATATAATTAACATAATGTTTAAATTGTAATATAAATTATTATTTTTAAACAGTATTGGCTACAAAAGACATTAACGAAAATTTTGTGACCATTTAAGGAAGGAGCTAAAAATTAAATTAATTTTTTTTCGATAACTTAGATAATTTTTTACTTCTTTCATTTAAAATAAGTAAAAAAAATATCATTATTAAATAATAAATGGATTTGATCACAATTTATAAGGGCCAAAGACTCGTATTTTTTTCCATTTTGAGGGTGCTTAACTTCTTTAAGCCAATTCGATTTCCACTAATATCAAAAAATCAATCATTTTTATTATTACTAAAAATATCTTTAAATACAAAAAAATTTAAATATTATGAAATTATAAAACATTAACACATTTTGTTTGTTTATTCTTTAATTAATAAAAAATTTTTTAGGACAAGTATGTGCTGTATTAGGGATTTTTGAAGCCTTTGTACCTTTAATATATGCACCTATGTACAGTTCTTTCTACAGAGCTACCATGCAAACCTTTCCCGGCGCTTTCTTTCTTCTTGGAGGAGGTTTAACAATACCAGCATTTTTCATATTTTTGTAAGTATTTACGTCAAATTTCAATCTGTATTAAGAAATAAAATAAATACTAAGTAAAATTTAAATGATAACAAATTCATTTTAAAAGGTTATAATAGCTTTTTACTAAATAATTGTTTTATTTCTACTAAACTACAGGTGGATGTATAAAGAAAATAAAAAACAAAAAGCAGCACAAGAGGAAGAATTAAAAGAAGAAATGGAACAAAAAAAAAGAATAGAAATATTTGAAGTAATAGATGTTAAACCGCCAAAATTCACTGAAATATCAGAAAAAAAAGGTTTAGACAACACTAACTTCCAAAGTGATGAAAACACGTCAATCAATTGATATATAATTAATTGAATCATATATGACTTAATTTTATTGTTAGTGATGTATATATATATATATATAAATATTTTAAAATTTTGTTTGTATAAAACTTTACTGGTGCATTAGTATAAATAAATTTATAAATTTATCCTATGTAATGTCACACTTTAATTAATTTTCCCAATGATCTACTTATAATTCTTTTATATATTAATTAAAACTATTTTTTATACTTTAGTAATTGTTATTTATTAAATTATTTTAAATTTAATTAATTTTTACATATATATTAATATAATTAACTAAAAACAGATGTATTTGACATTGGTGAATGATTATATTTACCTGTATATATGTATATATCTGTTATAATACAAATTTTATATTTATGAACAGAAAAATTGATAGCAAATGTTTAAAAAATTGTCAATTATTACAAAATGAAACTTTCTTCTTCTTTTCCTTTTAATATGTTTAGTATAATTATGAAAAACAACAGAAATTAATATATATAATTTACAAAATGTGCAAATTAAATTTTATGTAATATCTTATTATATAATAGAATAAGGAAAAAACGCTTTTCTGGGAAAATTACTTAGTGTGCTACGATCTTAATTTTTTTTTTTTCAACGAAAGTACTTGGTCACGAAACTCCGAAAAAATAATTGGTGAAGGTCGGGAAATTTTTACCGCTTGCCCGCGAGCGTTTTAAAATTTCGACTGTTTTCGAGAAAAACGATCACTGACGCTATCGTTTTATGACTTAAGGTTTGAAATTTTCAAAAATATTTCTGAAATATCATAATAAAATAATTTAATCCGTTAAGGATATTTATTGAAAATGAATTTTTAAGTCAATTTTTTTTTTAAATTCATATTTAATACATGTTATAGTTGTCATTTAAGAATTGATTGGGTTAGATTATTCACTATCTTTTTGTTTTATATTATGCAAGTTATTTTCATAAATTATGTTTAGTTAATTAAGTACATTCTGTCAATTTCTTATAAATATGTTTATAGTATGAATTTGTTGGAATATTTAATCAAGTTTATTGTTATATATATCTTATCTGTTGCAACTTTGGCTTTATAATCAGCATACTGTACTCAAAAATAACTTTCGTTTTGAAATTTTTGTTATACCCACGCACAGTTTATATTAAGATACAATTTTGCATTTGCGCATAGCACTTTATTTTATTATTTTATGAAGGAATGTTATGAATAGATAAGTTATACATAAATTTCAGCACGATTTTAAGTATATAAGTTTATACATACATTATCAGCATAATATAGTATTAACAATCTTATTAACATTTTTCCTGCAAAACACTTATCGTGTCTGTCGTAGGTCCTACAGGAATCATTGGCCTCCTCACGAGGATGGTCCAAAGAGGCTTACATGTTAGGCTCGAAGGGCTCCGCTAGGCAAAACCTAGTATTATATAATGTAATATATAACCATATTTTTTATTATTTGTTTCAAATAAAAAAAAAAAACTATACATTTTTTTCTTATTAAAGACAAATAGAAAAATATTGTTTAAAACAAAGTCTAAGAATGTGAAAATTGTTAAAAAAAAGTTACAGTAATTTTATTATTAAATCAAAAATTATATTAGTTGACAGTTGTATCTAATTCATCCTACATTCAAGTAATAATGTATATTTGTATATTTCATTGTACTGAATTATTATGGTGATAAACAATTTTTTTATTAGAATCAAAAAACTTTTATAAGAAAAAAAGAAATTTTTGAAAAAGTATATATGAAGCGTTACTCAAACCTTTTTTTAAATAACACCCAAATACTATATATAATAAAGGAACAAGTTCTATGATTCTCAAATTTTAATTTATAATAATTAACTGACCATAAAACATAAAAATAAAATTCAATATAATTCTTTAATAAGTGTTCCTTTGTAATTGCAGTAATAAAACAAATAATATAATGTTATAATAAATAAAATACTATACTGAAACTACAAACTATAAGGTGTTACTTCATACGAAATAGTAACCTGAAAGGGATTTAATTAATTTTTCACTTCTATCATAAATAGTAATATTAAATATTCTATTTACGATTAAAATAAATCTATATAAATAATATTTACTAAATTATTTCTTTAATGTTAACTTTGCTATTCTATTGAGCTTAAATCTACGATTAACATAAGTACTTACCTTGCATTTTTTTAAATTAAATCCATTACACCAATCAACTAATGAAACTTAAAAGAAAATGTATTTTAAAACCGATTACTATAATTAACTGATTTAAGTGTATTACATAATCATGAAGAATAATTTTTTTTTGTTGACAAAAAGATTCTAATAATATTACCACAGTATTGTGTTAGATTTGAATACATGTCTGTTTTGCTTAGATGGATTAATGGATTGTTACATTAAATAATACAAATTTACTTTACTAAGCAATAATTTTTAAGGAGATTTTCTATTACTGCCAACTCAATGGATATAGTAATTTTCAAAAGTTAAGGTAGAAAGTTATATTTTTTTATCTCATCTTAAAATGTTAAGTCTTAAAAATCGTCCAATTGTTTTATTTATGTTAATAGTTTTCATATTTATGTATTAATAAAAATATTTATTACATTAATTTGTTATAACCCAACGAAATCTACTTTTAAATATCTCTGTAAAACGTCTTATAAACTTATTCATAATATTATTTATGTATGTAAAGTATTTTAGATAAAAATGAAAAATTTCAAGTTTTTAACAAATATTTTAGTATCATCCAATCGAAAACTAAAACATCATTTTAACTAAATACGCCATTGATTCAAATGTATATTATAATATTATATGTCCAAGAGATTAACTATCACAAGTCTATTTTTTAATGAAAATTATGTAGAACAATTAAACGTTAATTTCATTAATATTTCTAAAAATAGTCTTAACATTTTAAATGTATGATTTATTACAATATTATTTATATATTTTAAACATTTATGATTATTTTCAGTAATTGAAAAATTTAACAACGTGTGCTTGTAATAAACCAAGTTAAAATACCACTAAATAACACAAAAAAAATGGATTTAAAAAAAAGTGACAAGAAATTTTTAAACAATAAAGATTTTGGTGACTGGAAATCTTTGGGATGTGCATACAAAATAAAATATGTCATTCAAAACATAACTGTAGAGCCCATTTTAGCAATTTTTCAAATATCATCGGTGTTATCTAGTTTAACAACACAAAATTTAAATCTACAAAAAGCATGTCGAGTCAACTTAAATATGTCTAGAGAAATATGTTCTGGATTGGAAAACAAAAGTTTAACACACCTTTACAAAAAAGAATCAATTGAAGTTCAACAAATAGTGGCAAATGTGTTAATTTGGCAAACAGTCATACAAAGTAGCATACCTTGCATTCTAATAATATTCATTGGATCATGGAGTGACAGAAATAATAAACGTAAACCTTTCATGTTGTTACCCATTTTTGGCGAAATTGTTAGAACTATTGGATTACTTCTATGTGTTTATTACTTTTATGAATTCCCAATAGAAGTAGCAGGTCTAGTAGAATCGTTACCAACAGCAATTGGAGGTGGAGTAACTGTTTTGTACTTGGCTACATTTTCCTACATTGGAGATAAGTGTACTGTAAGTAAAAATTAAATCATGATTTACGGTCAATGTGGATTAGCGGGTAGTATTTTGTGGACAAGGTTCAACAAAATGTCTGAAAAGCAAATAAATGCGATTTCGCTAGACTCATAGTATAGCGATCCAGATTGATTTTTGACACCTTTTTATTGGTAATTTTTTAAGAATAAAAATATAGTTAGGGTAAAATTTTTCAAAACATTCCTCTAGTCGATTCATAGTTTTCTAACTAAATAACTACAGCGTAATATTATAATTTTCTTACGTAAACTGCCAGTTAAATTTTTCAAATTCGTTGTAATTATAATAGATTTTTTTTGTAAATATGAAATAAATTATTGTAAAATATCAAATGTTTTGTCATATGATACATATTTTAAACTGACAAACAATTGAGTTAACCGGTTTTACATGAAATTTTTATACTTTGATAAACTTATTTTTTTTTTTTTGCTTCTACCTCTTTATTTGGAAACAGTAAAATTGTCTCATTTTTTTCCCTGTTGAATAGTTTCACAATTTAACAATATTTCAATATTAAATTAGACCTAGTAAGATCTCTTATTTGTAATAATTCTCATCTTAAAAAACAACTATAAAATATTATTCCGATTCTAATCTTGCTAATCATAAATATTAGATCTTAAGTTTTTATTTATTTATTTTTTTTTTAGGTTAAAAATAGAACTATAAGAATAGGGTTATTAAGCATGTTTTTTGGGTCTGCATTCCCTATAGGAGCTTCCCTATCAGGCGTCCTTTACCAAAATATTAACTTTTATGGTGTATACTGTTTATCTTTATTTTTATACATTATCAGTTTACTTTACTGTGTTATTCGTATAAAAGAACAACCACAACAAATATCGATAGATAATGTAGAGCATACTTTACAAAATTGTATGTATTACCTAAGGGAATTTTTTAACCTCAAACACATTCGAGATACTTTTGCTGTGACATTTAAAAAAGAGCCATATAATCGATGGGTCACAATAATGATGTTACTAGTTATTGTTGTAACTACAAATGGTCCTTCGCAAGGTAAGTGTTTCTCGTTATATTTTATAAAAAATTAAGTATAATTTCTCTTTTACTTTGACACTCATAAGTTTTGAGTCAGTTATAAGAATTTCAAACGTTTCGATGCACTAAAGTGTTTGTATCATATTCCACTATACTATTCAATTATTTAGTAGAACCCTCAAAAAAAAAAAATCACACAAGAAGAATAGGAAAATTAAACTCGCGGTCTAATATTACTGCGTCTCATCGCGAATATTCGTATCCAGTCCTGCTAGGGAGGATTTAAATATAAATACTAAACGAGGAAGTTTAAGGGTTCATTGTACATTGCGTGTACATATGTTAAATATATCTCATAAATTAGCTGAAATACTTCATTTATTGAAAATACTGTACTTTTAAATTATACAGCACCCTACTTGAGAAATTATTTATCATAAAACTAATTAAAATTGTTTAAATACTTCCAAAATAACTTAGAAGGATATTTTTTAAAAATTAGGAAATAAATATATATTCATTTTTTATGTTATAAATATTTAATGTTTATTAATTATTAATATTAATGTTATAAATAGTTTTAAAACTTAAAACAAATAATTGATAATTTTTAAAAATAATATTTATCAATAATGTTTTTTAATTTGTTTTTAAATGGCTCAGCTTTCCTCTAAACCATTATAAATGAAATTTGTTTTGAATAATTTCAGGAGAACAAGTTGTTGGATATATGTATACCCGTTTAAAATTCAATTGGAATGAATTAGATTACAGTTTATACTCCACATTAATATTTATATTGAACTTGATTGGTAATAACTTGATATTATTTTTCTTGGATTGTCTTCTAATAAATATAAAATCAGGTTTAGGTATTACCTTGGTTATTTTATGTCATATTTTTAAAATGGACGAAGCGTTGATTGGAGCAATTGCAGTTAGTAGTAAAATAATGGCAGAATTTGTATATGCTTTTGCAACGACAGAATTTATTTTTTATATTGGTTGGTTGATAATAAATTTAATCTATTTTTGAATAAATACAAGTAATACAATAATTAAATAAATATTGAAAAATTAGTATATAAAATGAAAAATTATTTTAGCTATAGAAAAAGTAACTTTTTTTAGTTAATTTAACATTAATTTTTTATCCTTTATAATTCTTTGTCAAATTTTCTAAAACGTAAATTATTATTAATAATAAAAATATTTTGATAAAATATATATCTATATGAACTAAACAAACTTAAAAATTAACATAAATGGTGTTTATATAACCATTTATGAATTATCTAGTTAACACAAAATATGTTATTACTTTTATCTATAAAACCTACTGAATAAATATACAATTTTTTTTAGAATTATTGTAAATAAAAAAAAAAGCTGTCAGATTTCAGACAATTTAAATATCCCTTATTTAATCAAGTCAAATAATTTCAAATTTTTGACAAAGAAATGTATATATAACGTATGATTTTATAAACATTATTACCTTTGCCTCTATCCCAACTATTTAGAGTCGACTTTACCTAAACGATTTGGTAGAATTTTACACCAGCTGTCTACATGACACAACCTTATATGGCTAAAGAAACCGATAGGGGTAAAGGTATATGCCACTGTTAAAGTTCCTGTATAGTCACCCATCATGGGAACCAACGGCAAACAGTGCAGCTGAACATCAGCACTAAAGTGTAGACAGAATATCTCACTGTGCTACACCACACCCCCAAATAATTCTAAGAAGTAAATATAAATGTTCCTTTTTAGGTATTTTTGTTGAAACGATGAGTGGTGCATCAATCATTGTAGTTCGTTCTATTTTGACAAAAACCGTTCAAACGCATGAGCTAGGTATGAAACATTTTATGAACAGCTTATTATTTTATTAATATTATTTTATTTTTTTATGATTGACAGGCCAAGTATCGGCAATCATAGGTTTTATAGAAACATTGGTACCGGTGTTTTACAAACCATTTTATAGTTTAATTTATAAAGCATCATTAAACACATTTCCTGGTTTAATCTTTATAATTAGCGTTATAATGCTCATTCCCGCTAATATTTTATTTTTGTAAGTATTTTTAAGGTATAATCAAAAGCATTGTTTTAAGAACCATTGCTGGCGCTATGATTTCCGAAATCCTCTACAAATTGTACATGCGAAAATCAAAAATATGAAAAATATCTATAGCACGACACCATGTGCGGTTAAACTTTCAGCACCCCCCTCCATGGCACGGCTAGTTAATAATTTAAATTTATAAATGATATAAAAAAAAGATTTACATTGAGATTAGAATATAAAAAGTTAAGTCCATGTTGGTCGTAAAATTTACAAAAAATTGAAGAATAGTAACATATACAAATCATAAGATATATATTCGTTACATGGTTTATAGGAAAACGAAAACTTCGAGTTTAGTTTGAAATTTAAAAATTGTCACTGATGTTCCTAATCAGGCGTCTCGTTTTGCTTCAAATTTAATCTTAATATAAAGTCAAAAACTTGTAATATATTATATTAATTTGTTTGTTCCTTTTTCCCCTTAACGTTGTATATTTTTATACTAAACATTCAAATATAATTTTAAAAAAACCCAGCACAGGGGGGTCGTGGCACAGTGGTGACATGGCATAGTTGGATCAAGTATAATGATAACTGACAGTAATTAAAATCACTATCAAAAAAAAGAAACGCTTCGATGCAAATCTTTAGATAGTGTTTAATTTTAAAAAATTGGTGTATTATTCTAAAAGCTACATGATCTGTTAGTTCCTTATAATATCCTGATTAAGATAAAGTATGTCGAATGAAAAAGAGATTATTAAAAAATACTATTTCTCATAAAAAAATTGTATTGATCCATACATTTTTTAAAAAGTTATAAATAGCATTCGGTAGCCATTTTCGCCGTGAAGACAAGTCCAGAGGTCAAATTTTTTTTTTCAAATTAAAGTATATTACATTAGCTTTAATTTAAGATATACAGGGTGGCCCCCCACTCACTGACAACTTAAATAACTTTTGATCCAGTTAATATTTTTAGCTGATTTTTTTTTTAAATAATAGTTATACGTTAGGTCTATAGCTATATCTCAATAATTAATTTTTTTACATTTTATTAAAAATATTAATTATTTTTAAATTTTAAATAAAATGTAAAAAAAAAATCTAAGATAGCTATTTTGTAGAGTAGAATTTAAGAAAAATTTTAGTAAAAAAATATCTTATTAATATTCAGTAGTAAATATTCTGTAGCGTTTTGAAGTTTGTGAAAATTTGAATTTTCATGTACTATTTTACGGTATTAAACATTGAAATACGTATTGAGAAAAGGACAGAAGAAAACGCTATCTTTTCAATATACTTTTGAATGAGAGTGATAAGTAATAATTGCCTTATCTAATTTCTTATCATGGTATTAATGCCAAGTTTGTAATGTATACACATTATCATCATATGTATACACAGTAATCATGAAAAGATAGCGTTTTCTTCTGTCCTTTTCTCAATACGTATTTCAATGTTTAATACCGTAAAATAATACATGAAAATTCAAATTTTCACAAACTTCAAAACGCTACAGAATATTTACTACTGAATATTAATAAGATATTTTTTTACTAAAATTTTTCTTAAATTCTACTCTACAAAATAGCTATCTTAGATTTTTTTTTTACATTTTATTTAAAATTTAAAAATAATTAATATTTTTAATAAAATGTAAAAAAATTAATTATTGAGATATAGCTATAGACCTAACGTATAACTATTATTTAAAAAAAAAATCAGCTAAAAATATTAACTGGATCAAAAGTTATTTAAGTTGTCAGTGAGTGGTGGGCCACCCTGTATATAAAAGTGTCAGACCTTCCGGAACATTTTCAAAAATTAAGTTGAAAAAGTGAATTTTTTGTAAAAAAGTTGTCATTTTAAATCCTACCCTATGGGCAGGTTATGTGTCAGATTTACAAAAAATATATACCAAATGATAGATAAAGACATCAAATATCTATAAAAAAAAATTATATTGAAATGTTCATTTTTGAAAAAGTTACGGCAGTTTTTAGTAAAAAAATTTGAAAAAATTTCGAAAATTAGCCATTTTTAAATTTGTAATTTTTTTGGAGATTTCCCCCACTTACGGGGAACGAGGGAAATTTGTTCAATTTTTGAGGGTAATGTCTTCAACTAGATACAATTTGTGATCTGTTGACGTATTGTTGAAAGTTCGGTGAGAGCTGAGAAAAAGTGGTAACAGACAAAAAAAAACACATCTTAGTAAAACTAATACCTTCTCAGTTTCGCATCGAAGCTAAAACATATAAATAGCTTGTATGTTCTTATATCAGTCAAATATTCAATAACAACCATCATAATTTCTTCAAATTATTAAGTTTATAAAATATTTAAAAAACTGTAATTCTATCATCAATTCTATTGTATTTTAAAGGAATAATATGATTATTTTTTGAACAAAAATTATTTCAAATATGATGATATAAACAAAACTGAAATTACCTAAGTATTATATTAATAATTAACATTTGTTAAGACTATGGTCTAATTATTGTTTTAAATTTTAGATGGATGTATGGCAATAATAGGCTGATAAAACAAAAAATTAAAGAACTAGAAAATAGTAAAGGAATTTAATTTTAATATGTTTAAGTATCTTTAATTGATTTTATTTCGGCTTTAAAATTATTGAGTTTAATTTTTAAAAATATGCCTGAATTTAATTAGAAGTATTTATTATTAAGATATTTTTACACAAAATTAATAAAATGTATAAATAAAAAACAATTTTTTGACAAAATATTTAAAAAATCTGTTTTAATTAAATTATAAATATTAATATGCAATTATGAATATTATTATAATTAATGCAATTATGCAATAATGAAAATCATAGGTAACTTATTGTCAAAGTTGTTTCAATAATAAAATTATTTAAATTTCTAACATTAAAATTTACATAATTAGTTTATACAATTATTTTTCTGAGAGATATTTTTATTAACTGATTCCAAAAATTAAAAAAAATAACAATAATAAAATTTGTTCTAAATTAAAATTTTTAATTTATATGCAAATATATTTTTATTTAAGTCTCTAATTATAATAAAATGATGAAAATTCGGCATAGTTATTCAAATTTTAGCAATTATGTATAATATATATTTTTTTAGTAATTTTTTTATATTCTTCTATTAAAAATAAATAATGTGCTTAATTATTAGATATAGTTAGTCCATCGTGTAAAATATTTTACATACTTAGATTATTTTATATTTTTAAATATAACAATAAATAATTTTTTTATATTTTAAAACAAATAAAAAATTCCATAAGAATAATTTTAAGGTTAAATGCTCTTACAAAATTAATGAAAACATTTAAAATAATCTTTTTCACTTAATAAAATACATTTATATTTTACCTTCAATTAGATTTAACTTTTAACTTGTTAGAATCGTCTAACTTCAAATAAATATTAATTAAACAATACAAATCATGAATTAATTTTTGATGTTTCTACATTGTATTTTATTGAGTACTATTTAAGTTCAAATGAACCAGAAATTTTTATACTTATGTAACAATTACGAAGATCATGTATGACTAACATAAGATAAAATTATAGTATATAATACAAAAGAATCAATCAATTTTCAGTTTTGTAATAAAAAATATTTTCTGATATCTAATTTTTTAATATATTACATTTATATATTAAAAAACCCAGCACAGTGGAGACGTGCCATATTTGGGTACAGTATAGATTTAATCTGACCGTGATTAAAATCACTATCATAAGAAACGGTTCGATGCAAATCTGTAGATAGTATTTAATTCAAGAAATTGGTGGATAATTACAAAAGCAACATCAACTTCTATTTCCTTAATCATATCCAGATTAGTAATTTTTAAAACAATGTAAAATTATTTATTTTTGTAGTTGAATACTTTTATCATATCGAATCTAATTTGACCAAAAATATTAGAAAAAATATAAAAAATACTTTAAAAATATTAGAAATTAATAATTTTAATTGTTTGTATGGATAAAACTGTTTAAGCTACTTTTCGTTTAATTAAGCGATTTTTTTCAATTTTTGAGGGTAATATCTTCAACTAAACACGTATTGTAATCATTTGACATATTTTTTAAATATTTGGTTAAGGATGGAAAAATAAATCGAAGCCACAAATAAAACCACATAATAAAATAATATTAATATGAATAAGAAATATCTTCTCATGAGGGAAGATGACAGTAATAGGATCCTTGATATTTATTGAAGTAAATGAATAAATATAAATGAGATAAAAATCAAATGATTTGAAAATTTTTTCTTAAAAAAACTTACAAAAAATATAAAATATTCATTGTCACAATCGGATTCGAACGTAGTACCCTAAGCGTAAAAGACTACAATCCGTCGCTTTCGTCGGGTGGTAAAATTGGGTGATTCAAATTTTAGTTACTTTTTCGACTTTAAAAAAGCAAAAAAATTTAAATAAATTTAACTTCTTTTGTCTTATAAACTTTATTCTATGTCAATTAAATTATATAATATTTTTGAAAGTCAGTGTATTTCGCTTGTAAGATATTTTAATAAGAAAATAAAATCAAAACACAGAAATTTAACACAAAAATAGCATATTTTTGAATACGGTAGCCATTTTCACCAAGAAGAAAATCTATATTTCATAGTAATGTATATAATATAAGCTTTAATTTAATATTAAATAAAAGTGTCAATATTTTCGGAACATTTTCAAAAATTACATTAAAAAAGCTCAACTTGTGTGCAAAAATTGATTTTTTGAATTCCTCCTGCGGGCAGGTTTAGTCATATTTTCAAAAAAATTATATCAAATGAAAGAAAAATATCTAAGGATTCAATTAAAAAAAAATAACTTTAATTTGTTTACTTTTACTGATCTTAAAATATACATCAATTTAATTGGTTTCATTGAAATTGAAGTATTAAAAAAAAATTAAGTAAATGAACTACAATAAAAAGGACTTCTATTACAAACACTCCGTAGACATCTTTAACAAAGTAATACTATGACGTAAATATTAATCTTTTTATAATCGAACAATTAATATTTATTTTTAAGAAACCGATAAACGTAAAGCATCTTGAAAAATAACCTTTATTTAACGTTTGTGATTGAATTCAGCTAACGTACTGAGCTGCACTTCAAAAAAAAAAAAATTACGATGAGTTATGCCAAAACAACATCTAAATTGGAATCATTAATTGAAGACGTACCTCAAGTCAACTACACTATTTGCGAAGCTACTATTAATCACTGTGATCAAATATTCAATCTTGTCCAAGTAAGTTAGTTATTTATTTTATTATTTATATTGCAAAGAATTATGAAAAATCACATTTCGGATTGTGAAATTATTATTATCTTTCATCACAACTTTCCAAGTATAATACACCCAGAGAAAAACCTCGATCTATATAATAAATTCATTGTTCAATTTGATAAATATATCATTACTATTGAATCAATGATATATTTATCAATATGATATTTTTTTTTCTTGTCTTGAACAATAATTATTTATAAGAATAGTTATTTTGTTCGTATTAATAAAACATTATCATAAACCCTTGATAAAATTTCTCTTTCAATTTTGATTGAGGTTTTTCTTTGGGTGTATAGTACTCTAAAACTATTACACAGTATTGAGTTTATTACAATTCAAATTTCTAGAATTTTTACATTAGATTGGGCTTACAAAACTGGTTGCATTTAAATTGTTGACTAGTAATCAATTTCTAAAGTTTCCAATCATGTGAAAATAATTTAAATTTGATATATATATATATATATCAAATTCTATTATTCAAAAAGCGCATCTAATGAATAAAAGTTGGTAATAGTTATAAAAACGGCTACAAAATATGTTCATATTATTGAAATTAATTCTATAGAAAATCTTACAGAAATATGATATAACTCTTGAGAACCCAATGAAGTTCATTCGTTATTTCAAAAATATTACTTAATAATAAATTGATCTACATTTTTTTTATATTTCTGTAAACAATTTTTTATTTTAATTAGTTTTATTGAATTTATATATATTTTTACTTTATATGATTATTAATATTATTTTAATACGGGTAGTAAAATAATTGTTACAGGATTTTTTTAAGAAACACAAATATATCATTTTTTTAATTTTAGGAATATTATACAGAATACGGGATTCCAAAAAATAGACAACTAAATATATCAAGTAAGCTGTGACAAAATAATATTTTTTATTCTAATTTTTAGAAGTTTATTTATTCCATAGCATTTAGACGAGATGGTTTTGAAACTAGTTCCCCATGTTTCCGATGCTTTATAGCTCTAACCAAAACTCGAGGTATGATTTAATTTTACTGCTTAATGCTTTCTTAAATATGTTTCTAATATTTTAAGAGAATGTAAGAGTGTAACTAATGTACATACTGTGATACATCGTGGCATAAAGGAGCTTTTTTTATTATAAATAACACTGAATATATTATTATATATATATATTATTTGAATAATATTAAAAGAAATATTATTCAAATAAAAAAAAAATAGATGAACAATAGTTTTTCTTAAATAAAAATTTAATGTACACTGATAATTTTATAATTTTCATTAGATCACTTACTTGTTAAACTAGATCTGAAATCAGTGTAATAATTGTGTAATTTATTGTTTGAGGACAAAACATACTCTTCAAAAAATATATTTTGTCATAGAAAATATACAAATGATTTACGAGTAAATTGAATAAAATATTTGAGTCTTGTAAGTCTTTAAAATATTTTGCCAAATTTTTTTAATCAATTATAGCATTTACTTAAACAAATAAATGTAATTTGTATTCAATATTAGATATTAACTATTTAGGTGGGATTGACGAAATTATTGGTTTTGTTCTATGGTATAGAAGTTTTGGAAGTACAACTGGCCCCAGAGTATACCTTGAGGCGTTATTTGTCACTAAGTTATATAGACAAAAACAAGTGGAGCAGGCTTTATTTGAAGAGACATTACAGGTTAATAGATTTTATTAAAATTAATTAAGCTTAATAATTGTATTAAACCTTAAAATTAATTAAATTACATCGGATGTACACATTTTTTAAATTATAACTTTTTACATTATATAGTAATACAATTTAGTACTACTAAACAATATGACATGAAAATAAAACATTCTTAGGAAGGAGAAAAACTTAATTATTCAAATGTTAACTGGATAGACAAGCGTTCTTACTTATCTGAAGAATTTTATACCAACATCGGAGGAGAAAATTTAACAAAAACTCAAACATTTTTATTGTACAAGCTTGACGAAAAAGCAATATCTGCCATCGCATTACCATTAACAAAATAAATAATTTCAGTTTCAATATTTTTATAACTTCTTAAAAATTATTATTATCTGTATTTTTTATTTTATCGAGAAAAGTTATGTATCACGGTAAATAATAGCAACACAATCTTTTAGTATTAAGTTACGTTTTTAATTAGTAAATCATTGACGAGAAATTCAATGCTAAAAATTTTTAGGACACATTATACTAAGTTAAGTAAGTTATAAATGTTGAGATGTATTAAATTGTTTAAACATTTAATAATTTTAGCCTTTTGCAATTAACTAATTAGTATATGAATATGTGAGAAAGCATTTAGCTTCCAATATAAGGCCCACCCCGCTCCTAGTTTTTAATAAATAAATTTTAGTTTAATAAAGATCTATTTATTTACCTCTTCAAAATAACACCTTTTATTTTAAGCGTTGCTCTTTGCACATTTTGCACATCTAGTCAGCGTGTATCTAACCAAAATAATAAAAAAGGTAACTTTGCGCTTTTTAAAATAATTTCACATGTATATACACTCGTTTATATGTATTACTTAAATTTAAAATAAAATTACAAAGAACTCTTTTTAAATAAATTGTTATCTAAATTAATATTTTAATAATTTTATAAAATTTATTAAAAATTGTAAGTTTATAATTTTTTAACTACGTTGTTCAAGAATCATAAAAAATAAATTATACTTCTTTAAATAAAAATAAATCTTAATTCCCTCTGAAATATTTTAAATAATGGTTACAAAAGATCTAAGCAATTTTTCGGAATTTATATTTTTGTTAATATCATAAATTCTCAAATTAAAAAAAATATATATCTTTTTTTCCTATTTGTACACACAATTAACAGTAGTTTTCAGTGTTCAATTTTTAATGATTTTCTGGGATAAAGGGTACTTGAGAATTATAAGTACTTGAAACACTTTTCAAAATCTTATCTTATATATAATAATTAATGCATAAATTTGGCATCTAGGGTATGTCAATTTTACCTCCCCTTCTTAAATCCGCCACTTGTAATTTTATTATTTTTGTCAATTGAAAATAAGATTTCTTAAACCACCAAACAGAGAAAATTTTCAACAAATTTTAACTTAAGAAATAAATTTTTCCCTCATTTAAGAATATTAAATAAAAGTTAAAAGAATGACATTAAATAAATGAATGTACATTTATAATATAAAAATATACAAAAAATTCTTTCTTTTATTAACCTAAATTTATAAAATAACAAAAACACGCATACGAAAAAATATGAACAATAATGATTAGATAACAATGAAATCTACTTTATAAATAAATATACATCATGAGTTTCCTTAGTAATTTCTATGAGTTTTTCCAACTTAGATATAAAATTATTGAAAGTAATTGGTTTTAATAACTGAAACAAATACTAAATAATCTAATTTAATGACTAAAATTATCATTTAGACAAGTAACTTAGAAATTGGACCTTTCAACTAACCTAAAAAAATAATGAGTTGTGTTCCTACATTATATTTAAAGTTTTAATGAATCTGTATATTTAAAAAAGTTTATCGTAACTCAAAAAGAAATAAAATTTGTTGATCAAAATGATATTGATCAATAAATTTTTTTTACGTAATAATGCAATATAATACGATACCCTAAAAATTGATATAGGAGATTTAGTTTATTCAAATTATGCTTAAAATAAAAACTATTAATACCTTTACAAAAATATACTAGCTATGTACGCAGTTAAAACCAATTTTATCTATTATACAAATTCAATACTTTTACTCTTTTATTTGCCAATACAAAATTTGGAAAATATCGTATCAAGCATTTCTTCAGTAGACACGTGTCCAGTAATTTTTCCAATATAATGAGTTGCTCTGCGCAAATAATCAGCTGCAACGTCAACATTCATATCAATTCGTGATACCTCAAGATATTTTTTAATGTTGAACAACGACGTTTCCAGACAATATCTATGCCTAATTTGACTACAGCGAGGTTGTTCAAAATTGGGATTCCCACACCTAATAAATATTTTCATAGTAATAAATAAAATAATTTAGTTTATAAAATAGCTAAAGAAAAACTAATGCAATCAAGAGCAAAAAAAGAAAGATTTTCTTAATGCTAAACAAAGACTTTCTATAAAATATAATTACTTGGTAATTTTATTAATGAAATATTTCACAAACTTAAAGGGTAAATCTATGAGAAAAAACTTAAAACAGACACTAATAAAAAGTCTAGTTAGTTTTGTTAAGAATATAAGAGTTTTTAGAATTTTCATGAGACAAACTTAAGATTAAAATATAAGGAAAAAAACGCACAATTCCGTTCCGCCGAGCCGTTTAGTTTTTCCTGTCATCTCTAACAAAATAAATGTGTTACTTGCTCAAGAGATCATTAAAATGTATTGTATAATTTAACCTAATTTAATTTATATTCAAACATAAAAAATTATTTTTAAAACTGTAAAATTATGAAATTATTTATTTCATGATGATACATTTAAGTTAAATCATAATTTATCTATTACGCTTATGTTAATGATAGCCCGCCCAACCCACCAATGGTATTTAAACACATGACTTACAATTTATGTAAATGATTCTTAAATGCTGACATAACCTTGGTTAATCCTTTATTTGTAATACAAGAACCAAAGCATACTTTAAAAGATGAATGAATCGACATATCCTTAAGTTTAGACAATTGATTAATAGACACTGTATCAACCTTATTAATAAAAATAAGACATTTTTTCAAATCAACATTCATTTTTTCACTATATTCTTGAAACCAAAAGTTTATATCTTTAGCTTTGAGAATTTGTTGAACATCAACGATAAGTATTACTAAGTCTGCACATTGAGCTTGGTCTTTAGCTTTATTAATTCCTATTTCTTCAATAATATCTGATGTTTTACAACGAATTCCTGCAGTATCAATTAAATTTACTGAATACCCTGAGATATCTAGAGATACTTGAACAATATCTCTTGTAGTGCCAGGTATGTTTGTCACTATAGCTGCTTCTCTATTACCTTTATTAAGAACAAAAAATATAAAATTCATTTTTTTTTTTTCAATTATTATTCAATTATTCAATTAATATATAAATGTTAATAGAGAACTAACACATGAAATTTAAAAAACTACTTTTTCCAGTGTTAGGAGCTCCAATAATTGCTACTTTGACACCATCACGTAAAAGTTCGCCAGATCTATTATCTGATAGATGTGCCTAAACAATTATAATTATTTGTATAAATTGAAAATATCAATTTAAAAAAACCCACTTCTATAGCTGAGACTAGATTTTCTAGGCTTAAATTGACGTCATCTAATATATTTTCTTCAATATTATCAGTTTCGCTAAAATCAATATAGGCTTCTACATTGGATAAATTCTAAAATTTTAAATTAAATTAAAAATTATAAAAATCTAAAATTTAAGTGCATTAAAGTAACTCTTAACAAAATATAAATCTTCCGATGTAGTTCATATATACTAAATTAGATAACATACTACTTTTTAAAAGATTATGAATTATAAGCTTTTATTTTCTAAGACATATTTACTATATTACTGATGGCAACATATACTACAGTACAAGACCATCACAACTAGAAAATTGTATAATTTAAGTTCAGCCTTAAGTATAAAATTTATTACCTAACCACGATTGTCTCAAATTTGCACCTTTCAAATCTACAGTATACTCGAGAAATTAGGATTTAGGTTCCTCTTAATATTAATGGAATTTAATGAACCAACTCTCCAAAATATTAGAAAATTATGTTATGAGTATTATTTATACATAAAAATATTTAAAGAGTACAGGGATAAACAGTAATAGTCTATTTTTTTTCCAAGATCGATTTTATGATTTGATTCAAATTAGTAGTAGTATCAAATAATGAATTTCATTCGATCGAAAATGTTTTCATTTTTCTAATATTCAAGTGTCTATATTTTTTTTATCAGTAAAAAAAATAGTAATTTATAGCTATATTATTGTTCTATTGAAATATGTATAGAAATTAATTACTACCATTTTTCCTTGTACCCTTTATTTTTTATAACAATGACAAAGTTTATCGATTTTAAAAATTGTAATTTTTTATTAAATTCCCCCCATTTACGGGGAACGAGGGAAATTTTTTCAATTTTCAAGAGTAATGTCATCAACTAGATACAATTTGTGATCTATTGACATATTGTTCATCAAAATCGGTCCAGTAAGATCTGAGAAAAAGTGGCAACAGACACAAAAAAAAAACACATAATAGTAAAATTAATAGCTTCACAGCTTCGCATCGAAGCTAAAGAAGAGTCTTTTATATAGTTTTGCCTATTACAATATTTAATCACTTGACTTTATTTAATAATTACCTCTAAAAGGATACATCTCCAAGAACTGTACAACTTTCTCAAAGAACCTTCAAGCTGCATCAATGCTTGTTTTTGTTGGAATTCTGTATCAGCATTAATGAGATCAAACAATCCTTCTACTTCGGTTAAATCCATTTTATTGTTGTAATAAGACATCTTAGTAAACTCTCCTTAGTTTGAAATTATATTTTATGAACCATTAAAAGTAAAACATTTTTATATTATAAAAAAGGCTCTTTTGTGATTAATTATTTAAAATTAAAATTATTTTATAAATTTTTAACTAAAAAAATTACTAAAAAATAGCAGATCCGTGTTACGGGATCAATGTTACTTTTTGTTTGCCCTACGTAACATTTATTACAACTTTTACAATGTATTTCAAAAATTCCCAATTTCCCCTTCTTCTACTTTAAGGTTACTTTTTAAATTTCTTAAATTCCCGTACTTTTTTAATTAATAAATCCAAAAAAGGCAATTTTCCCTTTGCTTTGTATTCATATATAATCGACGAGTAAAAAGAATTAAAATTTTGTATGAAGATCTCCGCATTAAAATCGTTGTTTATTACTGCAAAAATATCATATACATACCTAGCCCAAATTTTCTGTAAATCACTATCGGTGTTATTTTAATTTATTACTTACTCATGAAAAGTTCTGCTAATAATGATGATATTAGATTTCCCATTATTGTGCCCTCAAATTTCTCATAAAATTTATTTTGAAACTATACTACATTTTGATCCATATATAACTTTGTTAAATTAATAAAGTCATTAATTTTATTCTGTTCTATGTTTTGTTATATTAGTCAGTCTTTTAAAAACCAATTGTCATAATTTATCTTTATAAATTTATAATTTATATTTATTTAATTAATTTATGTGAAATAAAGCTACTACGTCAAATTAAATTAACCTATCATTATTTTGAATGTTATAACTAGATAATTTTTTAACTAAATCATTATTATTTTTAACTGAAAAGCTATTGTAAGGCGCCAATAGTCATTCTAATTCCAGCATTGTGAATAGGATTGATTATTTTTAATATGCTTAAGTTAGTTGGGTTATATATAAAAGAACTACAGTTTAAGAATTAAAGCCATTAATTGAGCTACTTGATAGCTTGTATAAGTAAGCTTGTGATTTTAATGTTTGTTCTGAACAAAATAAATTACAGTCATCAGCATAAGTTAAAATTTTGATTAGTACGTCTATATTGTTACATATGTCATTGATGCTAATTTAAAATAGTATTACACTCAAAAAGGATCCTAGAGAAAATCCATTTTCGATTTCAAAAATAGAGGTCAAAGTATTAATGAATTTAATCTTGAAAGTACTTTTTTTAAGGAAGTTGTTAGTGAAATTGAGGATATATTCATTGAAGTTTCATTTTTGGAGTATTACAAGAATTCTGTACTTCTATACTGTCGTAAACTTTTGAGGTATCTATTGTTTGCAATATGATTAAGAGATAATATTTTTTTGTTAGACCATTGCAAATGGTAGTAATAATTGTTAGTGGGACAATTATGAATCTTTATTTCCGGAAGACAAATTGGTGAGGGGATAGTAGCTTTTTTGTTGCAAGTTCCCATATCAATCGAAAGTTTATTATTCTCTCAATTAATTTGATCATTGTATTCAAAAAAGAAATTGGTATGTAGTTGTTAACACAAAGTGGCTTTTGTTAGGTTTAGGAATAAGTATTTTATAAAATGCTCTCCATTTAGTGGGGAAAATGCTGTTATTCCATATGTAGTTAAATATTTTGAGTAAGATGTAAAAAGAAGTTAGTGAAAGATTTTGATGAAATAATAAAAGGGTATGTTGTCATGATCAGTGATCTTACTCTTTTCTTTTTTTAAAAAACTAGTATAGTTTATCAATTGTTAAACATGAGTTACTTGGGTTATCCAGTAAATAAAGGTGAAATGAGTTTTGTTAACTATCGGTAATTAATTTTCTGGCAAAATTACCATAATGATAAAAAATCTCTACAACATGATTTAATAATTAGCACCTCTAATGACTTTCATGGTCGTTTGGGATATGTAACATCCCTCCACAATCTATCAACATCGATCCCCCCTGAGTATTTTTTTCGTAAAAGTTTTCATTAAGTGTACTAATATACCAATAATCAATTAAATATTTTTATACTTTAAATAAGAAAATATAATTTAATTCTAACCTGGATCAGCTGGACGAAAATTAGGTAATTTAGATAAGCCTTGAAGAATTGACGAAACTACTGCTCTGCCTCCATGAACTTGAAATTCACAACTATCTTCTCCAGTGAAACTCATCGGTCCTTAATAAACAAATTTACATTTGTTTATATACTTAAAAATATGAAAAGATTTGTGTTTAATTTACCTGGAAACCACAATAATAACCCATTATCCAGATGTTCTCTTGTTATAGGATCAATTATCTTTTTGAGATAAGCTTTCCTAGGCTCCGGTAGTTTTGACAATGTTGTCATACCCAATACTGCGTTGGACGCACAAGATCCAGAAACACGAATTATAGAAACTCCACATTTACCAACACCTGTGAATATAATCAAAGGTACAAATTAAAAGAATACCTTTAATTCACAACAAATTAATAATTATTTTTTATTACCAGTTTAATAATTTAGAATTTATAAAAAAAATGAAAGTATTGTTCAAATAAATGAAGTCTTTATATTATTGAATTTACTTAATCTAATCAATTTTTTTTAGGTTCGATGCAAATCTGAGAAAGTATTCATTTTAATATGTGTTTTTTTATAGATCTTTTTCTCATTCCTTACTGGACCAATTTCTTTTAACGATAAGTCAAAAGAATACAAATCATACCTGGTTGAAGGCATTACCCTTGAAAATTAAAAAAATGTCTCTCGTTCCCTGTAAATGGTGCAAAACATTATAATTTTTAAAAATGGTAAATTTCGACATTTTTTTTTCTTAAAACTGCCATAACTTTTTAAAAAGTGAACGAAATAAAATAATTTTTTTTATATAAAACCTTGGGTACTTCCTTTTCTTTTGGTATATATTTTTTTGAAAATCTTACCCTTTACTTAACCAAAAAGATGAATCAAAATAGCAATTTTTTCAGAAAAATTTTACCTTTTCAACTTCTTTTATAAAATATTTCCGGAACACTTTCCAAAATTAAAATGAAAATATCCTAGTTTCAATACACATGTTTAAAGTTTTGACCCCCCTTGTATAAAGGGATATGATCCTATTAAAAAAAAAATGTGTCAGATGAAAGAGGTATATAAAAATTATTTATCATTAAAGAATAGAATTGATTCATGCATTTTTTAAAAAGTTATAGCAACATAATGATAAAAAAAGTAAAATATAATATCAAGAATTTTTTCATAAAAATAGCATATTTTTGCATACGGTAGTCATTTTCACCATGAAGACAAGTTCAGAGGTCAAATATTTTTTTTCAAATTAAAGTATATTACATAAGCTTTAATTTAACCCAACCATTTTGAAACCCTTTCCTGTGGGCTGGTAAGGGATCAAATGTTCACAAAAATATATGAAAAGATAGGTAAATACCGAAGGTATCTAATAAAGGTACCTATAAAAAAAAATTATATTGATTCGGTCATATTTTAAATAGTTATAGCAGTTTAAAAATTTAAAAAAATAGTACATTTTAATAGTAGACTTTTAAAAATAGTAAAATTGTTAAGTAAAAAAAATTGAAAAAATGTCAAAAATTAGCTATTTTTAAATTTGTATTTTTTTGGGGGATTTCCCCCGTATACAGGGAACGAGAGAATTTTTTTCAATTTTTGATGGTAATGTCTTCGACTAGATACTATTTGTGATCTTTTGGCGTATTGTTCATCAAAATCGATACAGCGAGAGCTGAGATTGAGCGTTCTCAGACACATTTATTTAAAAAAATAAAAAACACATCATAGTAAAATTAATACTTTCTTAGCTTCGCATCGAAACTAAAATGTTCCGGAAATACTCTAAATTTCAAACATATTTAAAAATAAAGCTCATGTTATGTATTATAAATTAAAGTAAAAAAAAAATTGTCCGACTTATCTTCTTTTGCAAATTGCTATCATAATTAAAAAAAATATATGAAACCCAGCACAGGAGGGTCGCGGACAGTGGTGCCGTGGTATAGTTGGATCAAGTATAATGATATCTGACAGTGATAAAAATCACTATCATAAAAAACGCTTCGATGCAAATCTTTAGATAGTATTTAATTTTAAAAAATTGGTGGCTTATTCCAAAAGCTACATGATCTGCTAATTCCTTATTAATATCTTGATTAAGATAAAGTATGTCGAATGAAAAAGGGATTATTAAAAAATAGTATTTCCCATAAAAAAATTATATTGATCAATACACTTTTCAATAAGTTATAGCATTATAAAGTTAAAAATGTAAAAAATAAAATTGAGAATTTTCACACAATAATAGCATTTGGTAGCCATTTTCACCCTGAAGACAAAATAAAGTCCGAAATTTTTTTTTTTACATTATAAAGTATATTACATTAGCTTTAATTTAAGATATATATAAAAGTGTCAGACCTTCCGGAACACTTTCAAAATTTAAGTTGAAAAAGTCAATTTTTTGTGAAAAAGTTGTCATTTTAAATCTTCCCCTATGGGCAGGTTATGTGTCAGATTAACAAAGAATATATACCAAATGATAGATAAAGACATCATGCATCTATAAAAAAAAAGAATTATATTGATATGTTTATTTTTAAAAAAGTTACGGCAGTTTTTAGTAAAAAAAAATTGAAAAAATTTCGAAAATTAGCCATTTTTAAATTTGTAATTTTTTTGGAGGTTTCCCCCATTTACGGGGAACGAGGGAATTTTTTCAATTTTTGAGGGTAATGTCTTTGACTAGATACGATTTGTGATCTTTTGACGTATTATTGAAAGAAATCGGTTCGGTGAGAGCTGAGAAAAAGTGGAAACAGGAAAAAAAAAAAAAAAAAAAAAAAAACACATATCAGTAAAACCAATACCTTCTCAGCTTCGCATCGAAGCTAAAATTGTTCCGGCAACTTGTTTCCTATATTTAAATGGTCCATGAAGTTCAAAAAATATTATTTTGGTGTAAATCTCAATGTTTAACAAGTAACTTTTACTTAAATTTATTATAACTTTTAATAAAAAGTTATAATATTTTTATTTCAATAAAAATCATTGTAACCTTTTTTATATAATTCTTGATGTTTAAATAAATGCTACAATTAAAATATTCAGAACTAAGTTCCGTTTAGTTATATTCTATAGTATACTAATATTCAAAAATATTTCGGGCCTAGTTTCACATATAATTTTGTCCACTAATGTGTTGTTGAATTTCAAATTTTTGATGTTTTATAAAGATACTACAATTGAAATTTTTTATAGATCAGTTTAAACAAAATTATTTTCTAAAAAGTTTTGCATCAAGTTCTTCATTTTATATTGACGTTTGGCATAGAAGTAACGATATATGGAACTACTTTGTAATTTTTCCATAAAATTTATAACGTTAAAAAATTTTGAATATCAATTTCATACTAAGATTAATTACCATAATTAAAACTATAAATTACTAAGCATTTATTCATATAATTAACTTATAAATCAAAAAACTACAAATCAGAATATAATTAAGAATAATTGATATTGCTTTTATAATAATCCACCAAGTTCTTAAAATTATATACTATGTATACATTTACATCGAAACGTTTCTTGTGATAGTGATTTAAATCACTGAACTACCGTTTTCATATATTATACTTATAAATCATAAAACTTTTAATTAGGATATATGTAATGAAATAAGAGTTTTTGTTGTTTTTGGAATAATTCAATAATTTCTTTTAAAAATTAAACATTATAGATTTGTATCGAAGCGTTTTTTATGATAGTGATTTAAATCACTGTCAGATATCATCTATACTTATCCCAACTATGCCACGTCCATACTGTGTAGAGTTTTTTTTATTATAATTTGTGGTTTAAAGTGATTAAATACGCAGGGGAATTATAATTACTATACTTTTAAATGTTCGATTTGTCCATGGATAATTTTAAAAAGGAGGTAAATAGACATCCCATAGATGTGTATTTAGAAAAAAAATACAAAAGAAGGCAAAATTGGTTTTTATTATTTTTAATAGGCGATATATAAAAACCGTAATAAAGAGCATTATAAGTGGTAGAAATTACCTCTTATTATTAAACTATATACGTAGTGAACAAATATATTCTAAAACTTAAAATATTTTAAAACCAATAGGTTTTCCATATTTTTCACATCAAATTTTAGGTCAGAATAAAAAAAACAAATACTATAGACTTAATAAAAATTATCAAATTAATTATTTTGATAAAATTGCTAATTTTGGACTACAGACCAGGCCTTCAACACTGTAGTAATAACAAATTATCCCTGTGAATATGGGATAAGAATACTTCTAGGGCCTCTCTACCAGTCGTAAGACGCAAATAATGTAGTTGCGTCAGGTCGACTGCCGGTAATAATGTTGTCAAAAAGTATGAGGAATCCTGAACAAAACTTAGGCGGATTGTCACTAATCGGATGTGGGTGAGATAAAATAAAGTAGTTTTAGACAAAAAGGCCTAAAGAATAAAGTGTTTGATACCAGCCGGACAACTTGTGTTGTAGCATTTTTATCAGTCCTGTATACAGGCCTACTCAACTCTTGTAGTGTCAACGGTGTAAAGACAATCACTCAATTCTAGATTATATTCGTGTATAAGGGAGAAAGATAGATACAATGTAACAATAGATACATGAAATGTTGGAACATTAACTGGTAGAAGTGAAGAATTAGTAGAAGTATTAAAAAAGAGAAAAATTAACATTTGTTGTGTGCAGGGACTACGTGAAGGAAAAGAAAACAAGGGAAATAGATGATGGTTATAAAATAATATACTCAAATAAGACCAACACAAAGAATGGTGTAGGTACAACAATGAGGATATAAAAAGTAAATTAGTAGAAGTAATTAGGAAAAGTGACACAATTATAGTTGTAAAATTAATTTTTGAAGAAAAATTGTTTAATGTAGTAAGTTTATGTGCACCACAAGTATGATGTGATAAAATAAAGAGAGTTTTTGAAGAGAGACGGATGAGATGTTGCAAGGAAACCCTGGTAATGAAGGTAAGAGATAGGTATTAGGGTAATTGGAATTAGGGTTCAAATCTCTATTACAATATTTTTCTTACAAATAAACAAATTATACTTAAAATAATGGTGTGGGGATAATGTATGTTTAAAAACCAACACAATTTATAATTGCCCACCCTACCACCAACCTAATGACGTTCCAGTTTTTTTTATATAGGTGGTAAGTAGTGTATAACGTGTCTAGGTAATGGTAGCACTCTCTAGCCGTAGATAATGAAAACTAAATTTCCGAAAAACTGCTCAACCCGATTTATATTAAATCAACTCACAGTTTATAGATAATACAAATTTATCTCTTCTATGAATTAGATCATTTTTACTATTCTTTCAATTTATTTCTATACATTTAGAAACCACAATTGTTAAGTAACGCAATTTCAGATTTATAAACAAATAGCTGTTGACTAAAATATATTTATATATTTGACAAGTTTTATGGTAGATTATGCCAATCTAATTTATATATTTTTACTATGTTATGGTAAGATTTTTAAAGTAAACAAACAAGAAAAAATATTTATTTTTTAAATTACCAGTAAGTTTTGTTTGATTAAAGAATTTTATTTATTCAAATATTTTAATTATATATTACCTGACGACAATGCATATATCGTCGACTTCCACCGAACTTTCGATTGAAAAGTTTCTTTCAAACATTCCTTGATTATTGTCATTCTATTAAAAATATTCATTGTCTTTAAGATAAATTAAAATTTTTGTTTGTTATAATTATGTAGTGTTATTATTTTTAAATTGTTTTGTGTAACACATAGGTAGGAACTTATAAATATTTGAATAGTAACCTCAAAAAAATAATATTTTTTTATTACTCTCACAAAAACTTGAAAATTAATTAGACAATTTTATTTAATACTGCCTTAATATAGTAATGTGAGTATTAACAGATTATTGGCCACAATTAAACCTAATGAAAGATTACCAATAAAACATTAATCTTGGAATCCTTATCACTATAACGCACATCTCTAAATTGATATTTTTTTGTAACATAATTTTGTTGCTCAAGTTTTTTATACAATTTTCAACCTATAAAACGACTTTTTTAGATCTTACTCCGTTTCCTTGAAAATAATTATTTTAAAAACATTTTTTTCAAAAATGTGTATTTATTTTGATGAGTATTCGTTTTTACATATTTCTCATAGTGTATTATGCTATAACCACTATGCTTATAAATAAGCATAGGATCTCAATGAAGATATTAAAGTTGTACAATTTTCAATTCATAACTCAGGTAGCCAAATATCAAATCAAAATCAATGTGTATTCAAATGTCTCTTCTTAAAATAATATATTATTTTATTACAACAAAGTATATAACAGTATTCAAAAAGTCAATAAAAATAGTTTTAAAAGATAATGTAATTAATTTGTAAAAGATTATTTACACTGTACTTACCCTCATGGGATGTCACTTGCATATTACATTAAAAGAAACTTTTTTATGAAGACTAGTATGAAACTTAATAAAATTAAATAATTTGTTTACACCAATGATGATACATTAGCCATTATTCTATTCAAGTAAAAATTTTTCTAGGATCTGTTTAAACCAAATTAGGATACTATTAATGACATAAATAATATTCATTTACAATTATTGTATAAAACGAATGTTTTCAATTAATTGTCTTTGTTAAACAATTGGTATTATTATAAATACCAATTTTGCAGTGAGTAGTTTCTATTTTAAAATTTCTTTATAAGTTATTGATTATATAATGAATAAGAATATTGTACAAATTTTCAACAATATTGAAATAAAACTTCACAAAAATACTCTCATTATAATTAAGGAAGTTACAAATGTTAAAAATAAAATTAGTTTAAAAATATTTAATTTAATAATAATAAAAAAAATACAAAATAGTAAATGTAAGAAGACATATTAATAACTTCATATTACAATTATTGGTAGTATTCAAATAAAAGTAAAAAACATAAAATAATTTTTTATTAAAATATCAAATTTTAAATCATAAAATTTAAATATAAAATTCATTCAACACAATTTTTTATATTCAATTAACTTTAAATGAAATGGCAACTACATAAATAAAATCTAAGCTTAGTTATTAAAATAATAATATTTAATAATTAAAAAAATTTTAAAATTTTTAGGAATACATTTGTAAACAAATTAATACAATTTATCAAACTTTTTAACATTACTAATGTAAATAAGTTTTTGATGGCTTAAGAAAACTTATTACTTAAATTAATAACTTTAAAATAATTTAGAACAAAAATCAGTTCAAATTTTAGTAATATTCTTGTATACACATATAATGCTATAGTTTCTATTCTAAATAAATATTAGATTTGGATTATAGTAATAGAATTATTTATTTACTATAGCTACTTTAGTAATATTCTATCATTACATCATTAATTTATTCATTTTGGTAATCTAAAATAATGTGTAAAAAAATGTTAAGATAATGATTACGCAGTTAAAAGCATTATCACAAAAATGTCAGTATTTAGCATCAGTAAACAAAATTGAAAATTATACTTTTTAGATATTTATAAAATATTCCCTAAAAATTATTATTTGTAAAAGAAAATAAGTTCAGGTGAGCTAATAATAAATAATAAAAAAAAATTGGTTAATAGAATGTTAAATGAATAACTAATAAGTATAAAAAATTTTCAAAATATGGAAACTAGTAAAACAAATTTATCAGATTTCATTTTTTTTATAAATTATAACTAATAGATGAAAGGTTTAACTTGAACATTTTAATTTGTACAATAATTCATAAAAAAAATGTATTTATTTTTTTATCTAACACAACACAAAAAAAATACTAGATATTTTAATTTAATTAAAAACATTAATTTAAAATTATATTATTGTAACCAATTTTTAATTTAATGATTAAAAACAATTTTTTTTCATGCTAATAGTTAATAAAAACATTTAAGTCAAAATGAAATATTAAGGCCATGTAATAAATATAAGAAGAAAAATATTTCATACAAATTAAAGAGTTAATAAAAAAATATAAAGATAAAAACTTAACTCTAAAATTAATCTTAATTATGATTAGAAAGAAAAGTAATAAAAATCATGAAGTCATTTAAAATTAATATCTTAAAATAATTTAAATTTTTTTATGATAATTGTATAGTAACTGGATTTTGTTGCATATAATTATTTTGAGTTTCATCAACTATTGATTGATCATTTTCATTGGAATTCGATTGAGTATAAGTTAATATAGAACCAGCTGGTAAATTAAGAGGTACTAAATTAGTTTGAGTTTGTGGAGGCATAGAAGCGACCATAATTGGTGTTCCATCTATTGATAATGGAACTTTAACTCCGCTTACAGTAATCATTGTAGTATTTGTATGATCAATTGCACTATTATTTACTGCAATTATTTGATGACCTTGAGAACCCTATTGCAAATTGTAATTAATGTATACAAATATTTAAAATTAGGAACATTAAAACAAATAGATGGTCTACATAACTCAGTAGTGAATAAATTTATCCTCAGTGTGTAGTTACTGGGTTAGATCCATAAAACAAGCAGTTAACTTTTAAGATATCAATTAAATATAAATATATAAAAAAAAAGAATTTTTTAAAATATCAATGTATTTGATGTAAAAGCATATGATTTTAATTTTTAAGATCACATTAAAGATCATATTTAAAATGTTAACATCTCTTTATTAAAAAATAACATTATTTTATATTGAGTGACAATATTAACAAATGAAAAAAAAAACAAGCGAGTTTCTGAACTAAACTGATGTTATATTTTGATAGTTTTTGTGAAAAAGTGGCAAGTTAAAATTAGTGATTTTTCAGAAAACTAAAAAACGAAATATTTTTACTTTGTGGTATATGAGACATTTCAACTCAATTCAAAATTTAAAAAAAATTAACAACTTATCGAAACAACATCATTATTACTAAATGCATCGAACATTTTCCAATAAAATTAATAAATAACCTTAAAATGACAAAATTGAACTTTATATCTTCTCACAAAACTCTTTTATTTGAAATGTATTATATTAAGGAATTTTTTTTTATTATTCCTGTAATTATAAATCCAACTTTATGCTATACAGTTGGATAAATTTGACTACACTACTTTAAACATTTAAAATAATTGATAAAAAATCTGTTTATTATTTTATGATAGGAATATTATTTAAATAATAATAAATTTAAATCATTTGATTTTTAATAAAAACTATCATGAAAAATAGAGATAACTAGTGATTGTAAAATTAAAGTAAATTTTAAAATAAAATACTTACATCTTGAAAATATTCATTTTGAGGCTGTTGTTCATCTTGAGTGACTTTATTGTCAATTTTATTATGAGAAGAAGCCAAATGATACTCTAATTTATGTTTACGATCATAACTCATACCACATAATTGACATCTATATAAAAATTAGTTTAAGTAAAATATAATAAATAAATTTCTAGTTCAGTTAACTAACACATGATTCCTGTTTCGTCTTGATCCATTTCCACCATTATTATCATGTACATGTAGATGTGCATTCATATTATATTTTTCTGCAAAACGTTTACCACAAATAGGACAAGCATATGGTCTCTCACCAGTATGAACTCTTAAATGTCGTTTTAAATGAGATTGAGATAAAACAGCTAGACCACACTCGGGACACTTTACATGTTTCTCACCAGTATGTGTCATTGTATGAATATGAAAACTTTTTTGATGAATAAATCTTTTTCCACATAAATCACATTGAAATCTGGTATATCCAGTGTGAATAGGAATATGTTTTTGCAATCCAACTTTTTGAGTAAAAGATTTATTACAATACTCACAAGTGAATGGGTGTATTCCATTATGCATACCAACATGAACATCTAAGGCCTTTTTCATTTTATAAGCTTGACCACAAACCTAATTTTAAAAAAAAGATCTAATGAATACTAATTTCAATTAGGTTGATAATATGATGTGCGCCTGAGGGGAACACAGAGCTATTTGATTAGAATATTAAAGTTTAAAATAATAATATTACAAATCTGCAATTATCAATTAGGATGACTATAATTTATATCATAAGATTATTTTTAATATATCTATTGAAGTATTCTGTTATCTGATGAGCAATGTAGAATAAATGTAATATAATACATTATCAGTTTCATTCTAATTTTTAATAAGAATTGGAATATTAATAGGTACTAAACTGACACTCAAAGATCAAAGAACAAATAATATTATCCCTAACAAATAGTTTAGACAGAACAACTTTTAAAAATAGTATGGAAAAGGTTTTGAGTACAAAAAAGCTGTATTTATTAATTTAAATAATAATGTTATTTGATTTTTTTTTTTTTAAGAATGGGAATGCAAATTAAATGTAAAAATGCATTAATCGATTAACTATATAAATAAACTAATAATTTTAATAAATTTAAATTTTGTATTATAATCCTCCAAATAATACATTCTCAATGCCGTATAATTTTTTTAATATATTTTCCCAAGAGGTGAACAACCGTAATAAAAAACCACATAATTTGTATCAATATAGAACTAATAAAATAATAATACTAGGTATACTACTGACAATATTCACACCAGTCCACAGTTATCTGAAAGCAAATTTTAGACACTCATAAGTTCCATTTTAAAATGTACTCAAAATATTACAATAATTATGAAAACTGATTTCTAGTGCATTGCTTAAACAAAATATAAAATTCCAAGGTCACATGTTCTTCAGTATATCCAATCGTTATTTATAGCAGTTTGAAGATATTGTATATTAAGGTTATTTTTTTAACAAATTAAAAATTTTTTTTTCAAAAATTTATTTTTTTATTTATAAAGATCAAAGACATTAGAAAAAAAATTGTTTTGCCTAAGTAATAATAATTTTATTCAAATAGAGTATTTTTTGAGTCATTTTGTTAATTAAAAATCAATAAAAAATTTCATAGAGCAAGTATTATAGATTTTAAAAATATATATTATATATAAGGTGGATAAAAATAACATCATTTAATTGATATATAGAACAATAATAAATATAAATAAACTAATCGGCAGTATTGCAAATAATATTATGTATATTGTATTACCGTAATACAGTTAAACTTTTTTAAGTTAAAATAACCATAATATTACAATATTTATACTTCAAACAGTTATAAACAACAACCAAATTAACAAATGATCTTGAAATTTTATATTTTGTTCAAGCAACTCGCTAGAATTGAGTTTTCATAAATATTTTAATATGTTGAGTATATTTTAAAATAAGACTTATGAGGACCTAAAATTTGCTTTCAGACCCTTGTGCGGTCGTTTAAAAATGTACAATAGTAACCTTGTGTTGAATATAAGAATAGACATCTATTAATAGACATGAATTAATAAAAATAAAATTTTTGTTTAATCGATAATATTGAATTGTACCCGTGACAATTGATGACTACTGTATGCTACATAACAAATTATCAATAGAAAATTGATCAAAAATCACTAAACTATAACAATTAATATCAGAAAATTAAACTGTAGATTTTTTAATCATGAAAAAATGGAAAAAAACTTTATAACCACATATTGTTTTTGAATTTTTTGAATCACACACAATTTTCCTTTGCGAAAATTAAAAATTTTAGAATTATTTCCAAGAAAATGAATATCTTTTACTTAATGAATCACCCTGTATTTTTTGAGATTAGAGAGTTATGCAAACGATTTTAATATAACATTTAATGTCTTTAAATATAGTGAGTTATCTTTTTATCTATTGGAATTTACCCCTAAAAGCTGAGGTCCCCATATCCCTATTCCAAATTTCGGATAACAGGTTGTGAGTCTTGCCCTGAAGTAATACCTAACAGCAGTTCCAAGGCGGTCCACAGCAATGCCGATCGTGAAAAAAAAAAAATTGTGAGTTTTAGCTGTACCATTGAGAATAGGGTCCGGATCCTTGAATCGACTGGCATTGATAGATAGACACTATTATCGACCACGACCAGTCCAAGATTGTCTAGGTTAACACTGGTAAATCGGGGAATTAAGAAGCCCATGCCATCGTCTAGGCATTCCAGATTTAGGATGTCAGACTTGATTGGTCTTGGTTTCAGCTTTACTAGACACAGTGGATTCTGGATTTTTCAATGTGTGCATGACCCTTAACGAGCAGGTCATATTCTGATTCTGGCTTGGTTCCCCTACAAACTATAGTGATTTAGTTCCAGATATTGCTTTGCCATGCATCTTAATTTCAGCTAAAGAAAGTAGTCATAGTGGGTTTAGGAGTAACTACAGCGTCTCCTTGGTTGATAACCTTGAAATTCAGTCTACTTTACTATTATGACGGGTCATAGCTTACAATGCGTTTCCGAATATGGTCTAAAGGGTATGAAGTTCTCCACAGCATCTGGGTTCCAATTAAGCCCCCCAGAAAGCATAAAGTAACTATGACTCTTTTAAGGTATGTCAAATATTTCTTGGAAAGTATATTAAATTCCTCTCCATAATGAAAATATTCCACTGATATTATAGGACTCGTGTTAATTTTGATGGCCTTTTTTTTTGGTTAATTTTAGAAATCTAATTTTAGGGTCTAAAATTTAAAGTGAAAAAGGGACTTTTTTTATTAATTATATACTGTCAAGCTCAATAAATGTTTTATAAAAAAATTTAATGAATGTATTATTTATAATAAATTTGAATAAGATTGCATTCTTTTCAAAAAAAAAAAAAGAATTTTAAATGCGGACACATTTCGTTATTAGATGAATGTTCCAAACCTATATATTTGTAAATATTTAATAAATAATATAAGCTAGATCCATGTCAATACTAAGTTTTGCAGAACCTAATGAAATTTGTATTGAAAGGGACCCATCTCATGGTAATAAAGGGTTTAGAAGTTCAATTCTATCTATAACTAAAAAAAAAATATTTATGTATATTAGGGTGGTCCTTAGATATAGTTGTAAAAAATTTTTTTAAAAATTTCTGAAGTCTCACCTCTCAAAATTGTTAATGGGTATATAAAAATGAACCAAAAAAAGTTGATCAAATGATTTTAAAAATAAGGACTACCATAATATATATAAATATATATATATATAAAAGTTAATACCTCACAAGCGTAAGGCCTTATAGTGCTATGTGATTGAATATGCGACTTTAGTTCTGTAACAGTTCTCCACTTCTTACCACACAATTCACAAACATGTATAGCAGGTAAACATGCTCTTTCGCCTGAACGAGAGCTCCCTCTTTTTTTTCGTCCTTTTTTCATTTGTCTTTTACCTGATCTATCTGAACCTGAGTTTGAAATTATTGAATCGTCAAGTGTACTTGTATTATCTTCAGTTTTGTTTTCATCACAATCTACTTTTTCAATTTCCTTCCATTCAAAATCATCATCGTCATTTGCATCCTGTACGATTTCTTCCAAATATATGTTGCTTTCAACAGAAAAATCAGGTTTAACATCTTCTATTACTTCTTCAGTAGAATCATTAGTACTTTCCATATTTATTTCAATAGTAGACATTTTTTCACATTGAGACTTTTCATTTTCCACTACAACTCAAAAATAATTTGAAAGATAACAAAATAGTTTTTGGAACATTAATGTAAACCTTAACTAACCTTTAATGTTACATGCTGTACCAGATTTGTCATTAATTTGTTTTTCAGAAGATTTGTGTTCTTTCAATACATGATTATTAAATGATTGCTTTGTTGAATAACTTTTACTACATATAGTGCAATAAAACCGCTTTTGAAGTGTTTGATGAATAGTGGTGCAATGGCTTTTTAAATCAAGAGATCTTTGAAAAGTTTCTTCGCAATGCTCACACTTAAATATTGTACTGAGGGTACGCTTCCTGAGTCCTACAATAAATTTTAATGTATATTGCTTATTACATTATTCTATATTGTTTTAATGATTTGAATACATAATTCTATTATGTAAAATACAATGATTACTTACTACTTTCATTAGGAGTTTGTTTAGTAATATTGGATAATGAATGATCTATCTTGTCAACAATACATTCAGTAACATTTTCATTTATGGAAACCTTTTTTCTTTTTAAGCATGATTGGTTGTTAGATTCAAAATACTCAACTTGATCCATTGTTTCTTCAGCTTGTAAATTGTTAATGATAGTTTCTACAATCTTTTAACATAGATATAATTAAACCATAAAACATTTAATATTGCATTCTTAATAATCAATAATATATTAAAATATTAGATTTTTTTTTATGAAATGAAATGAGACATCAAACATTTTAAACAATCTAAAAATCAATGATAGATCTAGAAAAGCTAAATACAAAAAAGCTGATTTTTTAAAAATTTCTCTTTTTTACAGAACAACCACAATAAATTTTTAGTTTAAATTAATTGAGATATACATTTATTAATTTAAAAATACTTATCATTGATAATAAACTTTTATTTCTACAATAAAAAATTTTCCAACAATTTAATTATAGTAAATCGTAATTTTAATTTTTGATTGATTAAGAACTCTTATTTATTTTTACATAACTCCAATTTATCCTAATAAATTCAACATTCATTATTACTTCATCAATTTCTTTAGGAGTTTTCTCTTGACTTTTATTATCATTGCTCATAGATTTATCTTCAGTTTCAATAGTTAATGACTCATCCAACATATGTGGAACCATATTATTTACTGCAGCAATAAAATCATTATCTTTATATTCTAAGCATGTAGACGAATAACGTTTAACTATATCAGATTGCAATTTCTTAAAACGTAAAGATATCTGATCAAGCTCGTCAAAGAGAGTAAAACACCTAAAGTTAATATAAAAATCTCAACAATCATTTAATATTTTTTAATAGTGCTAGTAACTAAATGAAACTTAATTTTTTTTTAATTACCTTTTTTTATTTAAAAAATTAAACTAACCTTCTACATAACACTGAACTTCTCATTTGATTAGGATTTAACATTTTTTTTAGTATTTTTGACATAACATCCACAAGTAATACTTCTCTCTGGGGCATAAATGTGCAATAAACATTATATGAAGATCTAGTAGTCACTTTAACATTGCAAATAAAACACTTTGAGCTTTGCTCTTCTCTTTCTTCTAATGCAGAAGCCATTTTGATTTAATACAAAGTAATCTAAACATGTATAAATCAAAATAATTAATTTTCAATACATTTCCATAAACATTATCACTTAAAATGTATTGGCTTTTCTCAATCATAAATCCATATTTAACAAGAATATATTAAATATATACATATATGTATTAATTTTTCAAAATATAATTTAAAAGCAAAATATATTAGGAATTTTTTGATATTCTTACATTTAAAATATTTCAATAAAATTAATTATTCCAAAACAAACTGTTATTTTAATAAAAAAAATAATAATACATTTTTTTTATAAAAATTAACTTAAGTTAATCTGTAAATTATTGAAAACAACGACTACTCAAGTTTACTAATCAAAAACTTTTTATACATAACTCAATAAATAAATGTTTTACATGAATATAGTCTTAAGACATATAATTAAAAAAGTATTTTAAATATTAACAAACACAATTAGCTAAATATAAGATCCCAATATATTTATTAAACTTCAGATGAAATCATATTAAAAGCTTTAAAAAATAAATTGGTAAATTCGATATCAACGACCAAGCTTGAAGAGGATTAATATAAAAGTCCACATTTTACGATACCCTTGGGTATCGAGCGTTCGTAAAATATATATTATGACATCCTTTCATAATGCTTTACGAAACTCTGTGTCCGCCATTTTGAAAACCAATGCTTAATATATACAATAATAAAGCAATTTCTGTAACTTGCTGAATAAGATACTTACAAATAAACTATTTACATCAAAAATATAAACTACAAATTTATGTAACTTTATTTTTTTTATAATACCAAGAAGATAATGAATAATAACTCAAAATTCAAATATTGTCTATTATTATTCTTAATTGGATAATATCATACAGTTCTAGGATCCTCTACACTTTCTTAATTCGTTATCAAACAATTTTTTTTTATAATATTATTGTTCAAGTTGGACAATAAAATCGTTTCTAACATATGAACTTAATATGGTAGATACCGAGTTAAGCCCGATAAAAATTGAATATAACGAATATTACTTCAGTGATATAAATATGGTACCTAACCTAGATGGTAAACATGATTATCATTTAACCGGCTTAATCTTGTAAATATTTTGGAGAAATTATTTCTATATAGTATAAATATATATTTTTATATTAATTTTAATTTGAAACTGATAAAATTTAAATTTTATTATTAAGTATAAATAGATAATTAATAATTAAAAATTTACTTAATATCGGAAAATTCTTGCGTCAGATTGGGACTGAAAAAACTAAAGTATTTTCATATTCCGGAAAGTCTTTTATTTGATTTTTCTTATCACTTAATTTTTTTAATTTTAAAAATTTTCAAAATTTGTTTTTATTATTATAAAAATTAGATAGTTATCATAAGCTTATGAAAAAAGCAACAATCTGATATAGTAATTAATGGCATATCTAAATGGGACTAAGTATTGAAAATATTAGGCAGTGTTGGCATAAGGTGGTTGAACTTTTAAATAAAATCTTATTAGAAGGGAAAATTCCAAATGAATGGAGGAACAGTATTGTGGTGCTAATATTTAAAGGTAAAAGTGACATACAGGAGTGTGGAAATTTTAGAGGCATAAAGCTTATGAGTCATAGTATGAAAATTTGAGAAAAGGTAATAGATATGAGAATAAGAAATGAGACATCGGTATCTAAAAATCAGTTTGGATTTATGCCTGGTAAGTTAACAATGGAGCCATTATTTTGTGTGAGATGCAACTAATAGAAAAAGTTAAGGGAAAATAAGAAAAAGCTTTGTATGGTATTTATAGATTTGGAGAAAGTGTATGATAGAGTACCGAGAGAAGTTCTAAAGTGGGCATTAATGAGAAAAGGAGTCCCGAAAAGGTACATTAATATAATAGAGGATATGTATGATGGCACTTGTACTAGGGTAAAAAGTGTGGGAGGAGTAACAAAAGATTTTCGGGTAAGAGTAGGAGTGCGTCAGGGTTCTGCTTTAAACCCTTACTTATTCTCTATAGTGATGGATGAAATTACTAGAGAAATACAAGGAGAGCTGCCGTGGTGCATATTGTTTGCTGACAATATAGTGTTAATAGGAGAAAATAGGGAGGAAATTAATTAAAGGCTAAAGGTGTGGAAATCAGCTCTTGAAGAAAAGGGTTAAAAATAAGTAGAAGTAAGACAGAGTATATAGAGAACGAGTTTGATAAAGGAGAAAACGAGGTAGGTGAAATAAGGAGATCAGTGACAATAGGCGAGAACGTGAATGAGGAGGTGAAAAGTTTTAAGTATTTAGGATCAGTTGTGCAAAAAAGCGGTGGTATTGACGAGATTGTAAGACACAGGATTAAGTGCGGGTGGTTGAAGTGGAGAAAAGCGTCTGGTGTCTTATGCGATAAAAGAATTCCAATGAGGCTGAAAGGTAAATTCTACAAGACTGTAGTGAGACCAGTTATGATGTATGGTTTAGACTGTTGGGCCGTTGATAAGAAAGTAGAGCAGAGAATGAGTGTAGTAGAGATTAGAATGCTTAGATGGATGAGTGGAGAGTCTAGAAAAGATAAAATAAGGAATGAGCATATAAGAGAGAGTATAGGTGTAGTGTCAATCGTGGATAAGATGAGAGAAAATGGACTTAGATGGTTTGGTCATGTTATGAGGAGAGAAGAATCGGAATCTGTAAGAACAGTTATAGAAATGAATGTTGAAGGAAGAATAGGTAGAGGAAGACCATAAAAAAGATAGAGGGATGCCATTGAATGCAACATGCGGACAGCTGATATAAGCGTAGAGGATGTGGGAGATCGTGTCAAGTGGAAGTGTAGGATAAGGGTGGCCGACCCCAAGTAGTTGGGATTAAGGCAAAGAAGATCTAAATGGAGCTAAAAATACTAAGCCCCTCTCTACATTCATTGATCAAATCCAACATTTAGACTAATTTTTTTTTTTTACTTATAATACATAATGTACGCTTTAATGTAATATACATTAAATATAATATATATGTAATATACATGTATGTTTAAAGGACGCAGTATTTCCGAAACATTTTCAAAAGTTAAGTTGAAAAAGTTGAGTTTTGTAAAAAACTTACTATTTTTAATCCTCTCTTGTGGGCAGGTAAAGGGTCAGATTTTCAAAAATATTATATCAAATAAAAGGGAATTACTAAAGGTTTCTTTAAAAAAAAAAAATTATTTTTATTTTTTAATTTTTCAATAATTTATGACAATTTTTAGAAAAAAATGTAGAAATTTTTTAAGGGATTCCCACCATTTACAGGAACGAGAGAAAATTTTTCAATTTTTGTGGGTCATGTCTTCAACTAGATACGATTTGTAATCTTTTGTCGTATTTTTGAGAAAAATAGGTCCAGTGAGAGCTGAGAAAAAGTAGGATTGACAAAAAGAAAATAATAAATAAACACATCATGGTAAAATTAATAACTTCTCAGCTTCGCATCCAAGCTAAAAAGGTCAATTAACATTTTTTTAGGTAGTCCTTTATTAAAAAATAATGAGTGTGCAACTGTACAGTATCACAATACTGTTACCGCTACTATTTGGATTTGATATCATATAACATTGCCATTATATTGTATTAGACTATGATTATAGATAATACAAGTTACTCAACAAAATGTAATTTTTAAAATCAAAGTGTTACCGACAATTATTGTGCAAGTTATATATTCTTAGTTCTAGCGAGAATTTAATGAAATATTTAGTTTTCCACTTAGTACAAAACATAATATGATCATTTTTTAATTTTATATTTAAAAGAGATCAAGGATATTTATAAATTTTAGAGAAATCACAAGACTATTTAAATTTGACTATTATTGTAACCATGTATTAAAAATTATTAACATAATTATAATGGTTATCTAATATAATCATCATATTACTACAACAACCAGTCAACTCCACTTTTAAAGCTCTCGGAATAATTTTTTGTTTATTAAAGTAAAAAGAAAAACTTGTTTTTCTTCTTAAAACTTTTAGCAATTTTTATCTCTACATATAGTATTTAAAAAAAAAAAAATTAGTTGACTGGTTGTATAATTGAAATACTATCAATTACAAGTTTCATCTTCACCATTTTATAATCAAAAATTTTTACAAAAACATTAAAAATTATGTCAAGTTAATTACAAATTTTCTTTTTTAATAATTAAATAATCAACTAAACAACTAAATTAAATTAATAACTAAATATTTAATTGAAGGGATTTGCACTAGGACTTAACGCAAACTATTTCAGATTTAAAACTTGGTCACAAGTAGCTTTATTTGTTGATTAAGATATCAATTCAATAATTGAATTTACCATTCTCCTTTATGGAGATATATCAACCAATTGTCCTTAAGTAATTGAAGTTAAAAAATAAAAATAAATAAAATAAAAAAAGTATTGAACACAAATGTGGATTTTAGTATAACTTTAAAAAATGTCTTTTATTAAAATATAAATTTAGTTACTTAAATAAAATTTACAAATATAAAATAAAATATAATAAAAATAAATTATATTTTTTTATGTAAAATCTAAAATAATTTGAAAAAAAAATCTAATTAATAAAGTATATCATTTATTTTAAAACTTGTTTAAATTAAGAAAAAAGTTGTAAATAATTATTACAAAAAAAATTTAATTACCATCTACGAGATATTTATTGATGTTAAATTTGACAGTCCTGAAAAACATTAATATAAATGGATAAATAAATAAAATAAATAGAAATTTAATTAATAAGCTATTTGTTTAAAATTAAATGCAGTGACTACATACCATGATTAAATTTAATTTAGTTCAAATAGTTAGACTTTTATAATATAATTTATTATTAAATATTTTAGACAACTTAAAAAGAACCTTAAATTAAATTAGCTATGACCAGATTATAGTTGGCAATCTATTTTAGCTATATTTTAGGAATGATATTTCCAGTATATTACTAAAATATTCACACAGAGCATTATAAATACAGCATAATTTATTGATAGCCTTATTATACTAAAATTGACTTGAAAGGAACATTCAACCAATTATCACAGATAGCTCTGTTAATTGAGCAAAAAAAGTTCAGTGTTTGAATTTCTTGTTAAAATGTTGAAAAAATGCTATTACTCACTTCATATTCACTAATTTTATAAAAAAAAAGTACTCACCGAGCAATGTTATTCACACAATCATATCCAACACTACATTTATACTTAGGGGTATCTAATTTTCCATCTCCCAGACGTACAAGAAGTCCTAAATCAGCTAGTGTATTAACCTATAGACATATAAAATTTAATTGAAACTGAAATGTACATAAATTAATTGTAATCAAATAAATTTTTAATTAAATAATATTGAAAAATTTTTTACCTGAGCTAATAAATTGGCTGTCATGCTTGTATTTTCATCGATAATAGCATAAAATATTGCTAATAATCTATCTAATGAAAATATTTTAGGACCAACTAATTCGCTAGTAGTATTTTCTGTTCTTTTGGAACTAAACATATTGAGTTTTTTTTTACGTTTATCAGATCCTTTTACAAATAATCTTCTATCATATTTGGGTGAGTTAAATGAAGCAATGTATGCAGAAATCAAAAAATATTTAGCATAATATGGTAAATCTAAAGCCATCATTTCAAACTTGGATTTAACGTTATTCAAACTGTCTAAACTATCTATACTAAAAAAAAATATATATATATAAGCGTTGGCTAGCAGAAAAATGAAACACGTGCTCTCCACACATAGATAAAATCAAGTTAATTTATAATAAAATAAAATAATTAATAGAACACTAATCATTACATAAATAACACAGTACCTGGTCTCCGAAGAGACCCATCCGATGGTCTGGATGCTTCACCGAATAGACCAGGCTATTTGCTGTTGAAGGTTCTACTTCATCATCAAGATAGCAGTGACAAAATAAAAAAACCTGTGCACTCTAGCACAGTCAATGACAAAAGGGTGGATGAAGAGCCAACACTGATCTAACGGTAATTTCAAATCGATAACGGCAAATTTTTTTGAGAAGAATCAATACTAATAATTTGATTTTAATTATATTTATTCTCTCTTATTGCCTTATCTAGTGGTCAGCAATAGAAATAACGAGTTGTTAACACCGCTGTGCCAGAAAAAGATTTATTAGCGCATTCTCTTGCACAATAAACAAAAAAAAAGATAAATAGACATAACAAAAATTATGAACGGTCCACCTTCAAATTTGTGACATTTCAATGTCTTTAACTTCATGTAATTCGAGTTTCATTTATACCTATTTGAGCAAAATTAGCTCAGAAATAACTAATCACAAGAAGTGATAGACACAAAAATAAATTGATATCATCGTTAAAATTAATACATACTCAACTTAGCATCAAAGCTAAAATAAATATTGTGTAAATGTTCACAATATATTTTTTCCAAATATTCATGAGTTTTTATATACTAAAAACAAGTTTGTGACAATTTTACATCATTAATAGGTACTATAAAATAAATTTTTGTAATAAATTTACTTATATTTTCCTTAAAGATAAAGTTTCAAACATTAGTAATAACACAAAATTATTAATACCTGGTTCCCAAATAAACACAGTTGGATAGATATTGAATTGTAGGACTTATTTTTCTATAAAGTAAATTTTGATTAGATTCAATGCATGATCCATCTTTTATTGGTTCAATATATTTTACAAACACTAGTTCAGCCTATTGTAATAGAACTAAATGTACACTAGGTTTTTGAATACATTACTTTTAAAGTTTAATTACCAAGTGTTTTAGTTCAACCAAATCTCGACAATTCCCATAAAAAGAACCAACAAAAACATTTAGGAAGTTTTTGTAAAAATCCAAACTCCATTCCACTGGATTATCTAATGCTAATATTTCACTAAGTTCAGCTAGAAAAATAATTTTACTTAAATACATTTTTATTAATTTAAATTAATTAAAACTTACAACTATTAAATTGTTCAAAAATTACAGGTAGGAAGGCAAAATCATCATTAAATTTTGCTGGTGATACTTGACTAATAAGTATTACACAAAGCTGAAAACTTTGGATTAATTCTTGTAATTTTGAAAATACCATAATTTGTTCATATTCCAATACTTCACATTTATCTAATACTATGATTGTTTTCTCATTTTGAACATTGGAATTTTTCAATGCATTTAAGAACTGCATAAATGTTTCACAATGATATGATAAATCAATATTTTTTGTTTCTAAAATAATATAAAATTATTATTTATTTTAGACAATAAAATTAAAAATAATAATATATAATACAATATAATATAAGACACTCATTTTCTTGGAAACTGTTGAAAATTAAAATTTTTTTTTTAAAGAAAAATATTGTTTAATTCAAAAAATTCTACAAATACAGAGCAATTATTTAAACATTAGCCAATTCATTTCTCTTAAAATAATAATAATTTCTCTTAAAATTAAAATTAAACTAGCTTATAAAATAGAAAATTATGTAATTAAAAATTATTAACAAATTATCAAAAAAAAAAAAGTTTTAGAATAAATTTTAAAATAACATTACCTAATAAATCTTTCAGTATTGGTTCAAACAAATATCTAGGAGAGTAACAACATACACAATTTATAATTGATACATTAACAGATCTTTCTTTTTTTAAATAAAATAAAAAACGGTTAATTAAACTAGTTTTACCAGTTGAAGCAAGGCCATGCACAAATATACAAGGAGGTAATACTTCATCATCCTAAAAAAATATATATCATAATATTATATATTATATTGAATATTTTTATACTCAAAATCATTGGCACTAATGTGGGGCTAGGTTAAGAATAAGTTTTAAAATTACATCAATACAATAATTTAACTATACACTATTAATAAGTATTATATTAAACTTTGCTAGATTAATTCCAAAATTGAACATTTATTATCCTACATAGCAGTGCCACATCTAGGAGAATAGAAGGGACGGTCATATATGTGCACTATCTCCTTGGACTATCATCATTTACTTAAAAAAAGTATTTAAAAGAAAAAAATAAACAAATATTTGTATCTCCTTTTTCAAAAAATTCTGAAATTACCTTTATAAAAAACCTACATTATATCATTTAATGACTAATATAAATATAATATATGATATTAATGTACATTGCACTAATGAATACAATTCTATGTAATTTAATTAGATTAACATAAAATACTTAAAAATGATTATAAATTATACGTTTAAAAATATATTATTTACTTCAATAAGAAGTTTGTAAAGGTTATCAATTTGAACTTGTCTAAAAAGAAATTCTGTATTCAAACATTCTTTGATATGACTTTCTTTTGTTTTAGACATAATTTTAAAATATAATTAGTTTAAACTAATGAAAAATGTATGGTTATCCGCAAAAAAAAAATACTAACAAGTTTAACTAATTTAAACTATTTAATTTATTAATTACAACTTTTAATTTTCAAAAATTTGTGGTGCAACAATTTGAATGTTATTTTGTTATTAATTATTTTGTTGATAACATATTGGAGGGAAAATAATATTATCAGTTCAGCTTACAAAAGAAGGCCCATAGTAATTGAGTTACCGATTTTCATAAGAGTTATATAAATCTAATCTAAAATAAATATAGTTTAAAAAAACTATATTTATTTTTCACTTTTTAGTTTCATGTTATGATAATGGTTACTATCAATATCATGGTTGTAATGGGTAACGGGAAATCAGAGTTCGATTCCGGAGAGGGAGTCAGAGAATCGGCTACCACATCCAAGGAAAGCAGCAGACGCGCAAATTACTCACTCCCGGAACGTGGAGGTAGTGACCAAAAATGACGATACGGAAATCATCCCTCGTAATCGGAATGAATACTTTATATCTCTTAATTAGAATAAAGCATGTTAATATATATATTTTAATAGTAATTAGAATATTCCCTCAGGGGATGCACTTATTTGTGCTACGTGTTTGGCGTACCCGGGGCCCCGAGCTCTGAACTAAACTTAACTGATTGGTTCAGTTTGGTTCTCCAGATTGGGGGTTAAGCGCAGGGCTAACAACCCTGCCTAGTAAAAAAAAACTGTTATGAAACCAACTACACCTAAGCCTCGGACAAGACTACATGGATTCAAGACTGATTTTTGGAAACGGAATGCTGATTTTAAGATTCTGACATGGAATGTGACAAGCTTGTATAAAACAGGTGCTAGCCAAAATTTAGCTGAAGTTCTTAATAAATACAAAATTAAAGTAGCAGCCATACAAGAAATAAGATGGTTGGGAGTAGGACAACTAACAATTGGAGAGTACACAATTTTCTTCTCTGGAATGGAAAATACACATCACTTCGGTAGTGGTTTTGCAGTCCATAGAACATTAGTACCATACATTAAAGAGTTTAATCCAGTATCTGAAAGGATATCAATATTAACCATCAACACTAGCCCAATTAATATTTGTATAGTAAATGTACATGCACCTACGGAAGTAAAAGATGATAATGTGAAAGATGCCTTCTACGACGAACTAACTGATACATATGAGGGCATTACTGGGAACGTGATAAAGATTGTAATAGGTGATTTCAATGCAAAATGCGGACGGGAACCACAATACTTCTTTGCATAGAGAAAGAGAGTTTGCATAGTAACAGTAATGACAATGGACAGCGATTGATAGCGTTTGCAACATCAAATGGGTTGACTGTTAGTAGTACTACGTTCCGACACAAAAATATTCACAAAGTCACGTGGAGGTCACCGAATGGCGAAACCTTGAACCAAATTGACCACGTCCTCATATAGACTTAGAGTTGTTAAAATACGGTATTTTATTTTTTTGTTGTATAATATCGTATAATACACATATAATACTGTATAATACCGTATAAATCCTTGTGGCACCTTAAAATTTGGGAAAAAATAAACTTTAGAATGATTATTTTTCATAAAACGCAATAAATAAATGAGTACTTACTGAAAAAGCCTTTAGCAAAATTGATGAAAACAAAATGTTCAGCGAGTAATTAGTTAAAGTATTGAACTAAGATATTTCTCTATCCAGAATTCCTGTCTAGAGGATGATTTAGTATCAACTAAGTACCAACTATAGTCAATTTGCAACCAGAAACCACCCATGATGTTAAAGGTCTGAGAAGTCTGCTTTTTTAAACAAGTATAAATACACAATTGGAATTTTACCACATTAAAAACTTAAAATTTTTAATAACATAATAAATAAAATAATAAAACTCACTTTTTCTTAACAAAAAAAAATCCTATCCTTTAAATAAACTATTACAAAATTAAAATATGGCATCTTACTTGTTAGCGCGAGTCACACTATAATATTGTATTTTATCTTTGTTTAGCTGGTCAGCAATGTATCTTTTATTATAAATCTAGTCAGTGTACGTTCCACCGCTGAACCATCAGCGACGCGCTCTAATATTAATTTAAGTCATACTTGTATTTAAATATTGTCATTTAAGTTAATTATAAATAAAATTACGGAGCAAATATTTTGTAAATTATATTTATAGTTTGTTAAGTTTCATATTTATTACATTAATCAAACAAATTAAAAAATATCATAAAAATAAATTTAAGTGAGCGTTCGATTTATTAACAATTAATAATCCCGCTTCACCAACATTACTATTAATCTTAAAATTGATAATTGTATTAACATTTGTTACCTTAAAAAAAATAACTTAATAACCTTATCGATTATAAATTTTAGTATCACAGAGTACTAAGAATTAATTTTTATAAAGTATGAAATATTTTATAATCTTAATTTGTATATGTCATGACATTATCAAATAGTTCATCTGTTTCATTCTCGTTTTTGCTTTGATGGACGACCCATCTTAGTTCGTAATTTGCAAATAATACTTTAAACTTAAACAATTTAAATCACAAAACAAAATACTTTTACCACAGAATAGATTCAC